CAGAATTTATTTTTGTTGACCCTCTCAGCATTTTAAATGCTTAAATACCAGATCATGGTATATTCTCAATGGATACTCTCCTCCTCTGTATACATTGCAAACCCACCATTCCTTCTCATCCCGAGTAATTCTTGTCTATTTCTTTCTTTCCATAAATTCTCCATAGAGTATCTGCCCATTACAGTGGAGGCTTTTTTTCCTGGTTCTTTTGCTATTTGATGGCTATCAGCAGCCCTCAGAATGTCCATCTGTTCTGGTCACTCTGGCTACATAACCATCCCCTATCCCTTTTCGGTTCTAGATGTCACGAAAAATGTCTTTTCTAACACTTGAAAAGTGTTACAAAGTGTTACAAAGTATCACAAAGAGTGATTATTTGCAATATGCGATTGCCATGAATTTTTCATTGTCTTTTGGGTCCCCCATAATTTTTGTTCTTGTGAGACTGCTGTGATGGATGATTTGCAGTCATATATCACTAAAATAGCAGTGTTAAAAAAGAAAATTTCCCTTCAAATAGGAACATTTAGGCACATTTACATCTAAGTAGTTTCTAGGAACCTTAGTGAATCCCAAATGTTGACTAATTTATGGTGAAAAAAAGTTTTAAAATAACATCTGTTCTAATATATTTTTTGAAATAGAAGCATTTTAACCATGAAAATTAATTTTTATTCTCAGAGGTCTCTGATGTGTAATGGAGCCATTAACTAATGTTTATGAAACTCTCTCCACATGAGCTCAGACAGCTACTTAAGTAAGTTCTTGATATGTCTTCTAAGTACTAATATTTTCAAATATTTAAAAAGAACAAGTCATTGTGGAGGGTTACTTTATGATAAGCAGATATGTCAGAATTTTTATTTACCTCTTATTCTCAGAATTTAGCCCTTCACTCAAGTCATCTTAAATAATTTATCACATGAGAATGTTGTAATTTTATTTTTGGATGAAATGGCAAATAACTTTTTTTAAAGGAATTGCTTGCCATACACCACTGCTTAGGTAATAAGCATATCCCCACATTGTATGTTTCTGACTTATCCAAGGCCAACAAGGGCATTATGGAGGATGTTATCTAAGATGCCATCATGAGGACCCAGTTGGACATTTTATCTATGAAGTTATTGGGAGGAAAGTGGGGATAGCTCAGCTAGTTTTGTGGAGGGGAGGATGAGAGCAAGGAATGAGTAATACAGAATATATGCCAATTTTCTGGCAAGTGCCAGGAGAAGGGCCTTTGATTGCATTTTCAAGTGAGGAATCAAAGGCCTCCTAGAAGAATTTACAGTTTTGTTTTGTTTTGTTTTTCCCTTGGGATTGTACATGTGATAGGTTAACTCAGCTTCAGTAAAGGAGAAGGAACACACTTCCAATACATAAAAGTCCTAACAAGTGAGAAAAGCCCTGGTTATAAATATTTTCATCCATAAATGTGTACATGTATGTATATATTCAATAGCAAGCAATAGTGATTCACTTATATTCTTTAGAGTACAAAAGGATAACAATAGCTAGCATTTTTTATTAATTTATTTTGATTTATCAACAATCACTTCCATAATCTTTTGAGTTTTAAATTTTTCTCCCTCTCCTTCCCCACCTCCCTTCCCAAGACAGCGCACAATCTGATATAGGCTATACATATACATTCTTATTAAACATTTTCACATTAGTCATGTTGCAAGGAAGAATTAGAACCAATAGAAGGAATCATAAGAGGAAACAAAGCAAAACAAGAAAAAAATTAGCAAATAGTATGCTTCAATCTGCATTCAAACTCCCTAGTTCTTTCTTTGGATGTGGATAGCATTTTCCATCATGAGGCCTTTGGAAATGTCTTAGATCCTTGCATTGCTGAGAAGGGCTAAGTTTATCAACGTTAGTCATCGCACAACATGGCTGTTAACTGTGAACAATGTTCTCCTGGTTCTGCTTATTTCACTCAGCATCAGTCCATACAAGTCTTTCCAGGTTTTTCTGAAGTCTGCCTGTTCATCATTTCTTATAGCACAATAGTATTCCATTACATTCATATACCACAGCTTGTTTAGCCACTGCCCACTAGATGGGCATCCCCTCAATTTCCAATTCTTGGCCACCACACAAAGAGCTAAATAGCTAGCATCTATACAGAGCCTACTGGGTGCAGATCCTGTGCCAGGTTCTTTTGCAAATCTCGTTTGATCCTCACAACCCTGAGAGGCAGGTGCTGTTATTATCCCATTTTACAGCTGAGGAAACTGAGGCAGAGGTGACGTGACTTGCCCAAGGCCACAGAGCTATTGTCTGAGGCAGGATTTGAAGTCAGGTCATCTAGACTCCAGACCCAACCCTCTGTCCAAGGCACCACACCTAGCTGCCTCTATGATATACGTATATATGTGCACAGACTGGTTATAGTCTTATTATTGGTCAATTTTTTTGACTCAGAGTTCCCTTCCTCAGTCTCACAGTTGCCCATGATAACAATATTTAATCTTCTTAGTTCTTAATCTGCATTAGTGTTGTCTATTTCCTTTGCAAACTGTGACAAAGGCAACCATGGATAGGTAGCTTTTTATTGTTGTAAAGGGAAATTCTACTTTTACTGCAGGTAGAGTTTATTGGGGGCAGAGCGCCCTCTAGTGTACCAACGATATACTGTAAATTTTCTTTCTGGAAAAGAAACAGGAATGAGCTTGCCTATGAAATAGTTTGTATAACTGGACTTCAGTTTTGCTTTATATGACATAAGTGCTAATAAATTTAAGCTGCACTTAGACTTTCGGGACACCCTGTATTCCAGTACCTGCATTATTATTAATCACTTTTCACAAGATTTGTCTTATAAAGATTTTATCTGGTTTTTAACAGATGAGCAAAATAACATCTGGAGTTTTAAAACCCTCATAGGTGCATTTTAAATACAATTTCACTGTTTCTTAAACAATGGAAACTTTAAAAAGATGGGGGAAACAGTTCAACAAAACCCCTATACCTTCCAAATAGGTGTTTCACACCTATCCTCTGGGACCACTTCTGTAAAGAAGGGAGACATGCATTCTCATTTTTCCTCCAGGCAAAGGAACCTGGCCTATATAAAAAAGCCTGGTCTATATAATTCCTCAACGTTCAGCTTCTGTTTTGTTGCTGTTTGCATTTATGCTGTTGTAGTCCCTGTCTGGGTTTGCCTCAGTTCACATATGTCTTCCTATGCTTCTCTCCATTGATTATTTCTTTTTTTCTTTCTTTCTTTTTTTTTTTTTTTGCTTTTTGGTGAGGCGATTGGGGTTAAGTGACTTGCCCAGGGTCATACAGCTAGTACGTGATAATTGTCTGAGGCTGGATTTGAACTCAGGTCCTCCTGACTTCAAGATCAGAACTCTATTCACTGTGCCACCTAGCTGCCCCTCCATTGATTATTTCTTACTGAGCAGTAGTAATAGTCCATTGTGTTCCAAATCACAACTTGTTTAGCTATTACCTAAACCAGGGCAACTTAAACTTTCTCCACTCATGATCCCTTTTCACCTTTCAGCAGCATTGGTTGGGGTGGCATGACCTGAAGGCATGCGCAGTGCAAAGTGCACATGCTTTGTGTTCAGAACCAAGGCTGCAGATGCAACATGGGAAAAGCTACCAGAAATACCTTGGATTCATTACGTATTTGATTTTGAATTAATTTTCGGTTGTTGTGTGTCCAAAAACCTTTTACTGTTGCCAAATTTTTTGTGACCCCCCCAAGGGGTCGTGACCCACAGTTTAAGAAGTGCTGTGCCTAATCAATGTTGTGCATCAACCTTGTTTCTAGTTCTTTGACCCTACAAAAATTTTGGTGCACATAGAACCTTTCTTTTTATCACTGAAGTCCTTGGGGTATATTCCTAGAAATGAGATCTCTGGGTCAAACAGTATAAGCATTTTAGTCATTTTCTTAGCAAAATTCCAAACTTCATTCCAGAATAGCAGGACCAATTCATGATTCCACATAGGTTCCTTGAGAGCATGGAGTATTTCATTCTTCATACTTCTATCCCCAATGTCTACTACCATAGTGCCTGGTATGAACGCACTTGATAACAATGCCTATTCCCATTTTTTATCAGCTTTGTAAATTTGCTGGTTATGCTATGGAACCTCAAGCCTATCTTGATCTGTATTCCTCTTCTCATTAGTAATTTAGAGTTTTATTTCATATGGTTTTAGGCAGCTTGCAATTCTTTTCAGAACTGTATGCTCATGACCACCTATCTATTGGGAAGTGACTTTTGGCTATATATCATCAACACGATAGTAATAGCACACACATAAAAAGTGAAACATTTAGCCAATTTGGACAAAACACTGGGTTGTCTTTACAAATGCATCAAATCACCTTTTTAACTTTTAGCATCCCTTCCAAATAGATTTAACCGACCAAACTAAATTCCTTTTTGATTTTCCAGTTGATTTAGTAGCTCACAGGATTCAGGATCTGGAAGTGGCTTCACACATCATCTAGTCTCACACAGTACAAAATGAGGAAACACACGCTCAGAGGAGTTAGATGATGTGCCCCAGGATACAGAGGCAGTAAATAAGAGAGCCAGGATTAGAATCTGACTCTTTGGGCAATAATTCTGTGTTCTTTTTGTTCTAGTCCAGGTCAATAAAGACGTATCAAGCACCTATGCATCATATTGTAATCAGCAAATTAGCAAAGATGACCCAAAATGGGAACAGCCATTGTTTGCAGAGACCAAATCACATTCCCTCAAAATGAAACACACACAGAAGAATCTATACAGTATAGATACAGACGATAGAGTAGGTGCTAAATTGTTAAACCTGTTCCCCAAGACTAATATTTTAAAGGGGTATAATTTACTATGTGAAAAGTTTTTTTAAAAGACGCTTGTTCCTCCAAGAAATAAGAAAAATATTCTTTATTCAATGATATTATCCACTTAATTGTAGCATCGAGAAAAACAGGCACAACATGCAAAGGCTGATAGACAAATGTTGACAGAGGAATCCACTTGAATCATCACAAAAACCACAATCATCTTCCCAGTGTGCTTCCTCCAAGAAGAGTAGATCCTGTAACAAAGAATAAGTATATATGAAATATATATATCTGCCTGCATCCACATGTATTATAGTTAAGTGCATATAAAAACATATAGTTACCTAAAACAAGTTTGGAATTCTGTGTATTTGAGAAAAATGGAAATAAAATCAGTCTCTGTACATTGAAATAAACACATCCTTTAGGGAAGTACAAGAAACACACATTGGAACACATTTTTAAAATTCAGATTTCCCATTCTTCAAGTACACTAGAGAACCAGAGTACTTAAAGTCTTTCATAAAGAACCAATATATAAAGGGGCAGCTAAGTGGCATAGTGGATAAAGCTGTAGCTGTCGCCTCACCAAAAATATATATATATATATTATATATATATAAAATCACTGCTGTAGACCAAAGTCTGAGCACAAGTTCCAAAAAAAAAATCAATAATAAATTTTTTAGCTACATTATCTACATGAAAGATTAGAAACAGAATTCCTATGAATATTCACTATTTTCTCAACTGGTAGCTTTTCTTTAAAATAAATTCTCTCATAAATACAACTCTTGAATACAAGTGAATTAATACTTTATCATACAAGAACTAAAGTACTTTTCTAGTTAATTAATTTTTAAAATTAGATCATTCACTTGCCTAAACATTGCCTCTGTAGAAGATTAGATATGCTAATTGGCTGTCTTGGCACTGAAGACTGAGATGGAGGAGGTGTAAACTGAGGAATTCTGAAGCCAGAAGTATCCCACATTCCTATTCTACTTTGCAAGGAAGATGACAGAGCATGTGAAGGTCCATTATAAGGAATCTGTGCCGGTGGCGTCCTATTAACATAACCCAATATAATCATTAACACATTTCTTTTAACAACATGATATTCAGTTATTGATTATACATACTAAATAATGAAATCAACTGCAGATTAGCCCAAGTCTTTTAAATTTGGTTTTATAATTTACCTTTGGCAGCAGATTTACCTTCCTCATATTTTCCTTAGTTTAATATAACTACTTATCAAAGTGCATGATTTACATATAGATAATTTTTGCACATATACAATTACTATTCCACATATTAACACATGATTATGCAGATAATCAAGGTTTTATTTATGGTTCATATAACTAGGAAGCATATTATACACCAATGTGAGGTATAGAATATGCTAAAAGTTATCTTACAGATAATAGACTCATGTGACCTCTTTTTGAAAAACTGGACCTATGATTTCAGTGATGGAGAATTCCCTGATGAGGGAACTCCCTTTACTAATACAAGTCTATACCTTCTCCGCACTTAAGAGTCTTAAACAATTGCCTCAATCATTGAGTAGTTAAGTGGTTTGCTGTCTAGGGTCTTGTCTATCAGATAACTTAAAATCAATCAGCTTTATCATTTTCATCTTATTCTCAAATAACTGTATAAAACCTTACCATACCAGTGACAATAAACTTTTAAAGATTAGAATAAATGAGAATATGAAAACTTTACCTCCTAAAAAGTGATATCATTGAATTCTAGGAGCTTATTATTCATATGTTGATAATAACCAAATAACCAATAAAAAGGAAGCAGGTGTGTCCTTCGGGGAGCGTGGGTTCTATATGAAAGTGAATAAGGAGTGGAGAATCACAGAACCTCAACTTCAAACGCCATGCAGTTCAGCCTACACCCGAGATCACCTTTGCATCATCCTCAACAAGAGGACAATGAATGCATTCTTCTTTACAGAACTCGAGTGAAGGGGAATCTGTGACCCCCAGCCTGTTCTTCTTTTAGGTAGCTCTAATTGTTATGAAGTTTTTCCTTATTCAGACTAAAAATGATTCCCTGAAATTTCCATCCATTAGTCCTAGTTGCTCCCTCTGAGGCCAAACAGAACAATTTAACTCCCTTTCCTTCAAGCATTTCATTTTATTTGTTTGTTTTAGGCAATTGGGGTTAAGTGACTTGCCCAGGGTCACACAGCTAGTAAGTGTCAAGTGTTTGGTCAGAGGCCGTATTTGAACTCAGGTCCTCCTGCCTTCAGGGCCAGCGCTCTACCCACTGCGCCACCTAGCTGCCCCACTTTCAAGCATTTTAGAAAGCTATCATGTATGTTTCCTGTTTTCCAACTTATGTGTCACCAAATCTTTGTATGTCAAGATCATCCACTGGGCTCTACGCTTTCCTTCAGAGGTCCTCCAACTTATCAAAGCCCATCCTAAAATATGCCATCAGAATATAGGATGGCATCTGAGCTACGGTATGGTTAGAGCAGAACAAAGAGAAGCTATCAATTCCCAAGGCCTGGACACCACACCTCTTACCTTTGGCCCCTGTTTTGTACTGTTATCTCACAATGTTAGTTTAGAGTTCACCAAGATCTTTTTTCACATGAACTGCTCTCTGGATATTCCTATCCAATTTTGTCCCCATGAAGTTAATTTTGGGGAACATAAGTGTAGGACATTCCATTTGTCGTCATTAAATTTCATATTATTAAGATTCCATGCAACCTTCTCATCTGCTGAGTTCTTTTTGGGTTTTGACTCTGTCACCCAAAGTTTTAGCTGTACCTCCCAGCTTCATGTCATCTGCAGATATCAAGAGCTCCCAAGAGAACAAGGAGGCTCCCTCATGCCCATGAAAGTTAGGCTGTTTCTAATCATTCTCATTCATGTATGGCTAGAATGATGGGCAAACCAAGATGAAATTTAACAGTGATAAACAGAAAGCCCCAGACCTGGATTTTAAAATGCAAACTGTACATATGCACAAAAATGGGAAGAGGCATGGCTAGACTATAGATAAAACCAGCAAAGCCTCATCAAGAACAAGTCAAGAAATCAAGTGAGCACTTATTAAGCACCTACTTTGTGTTAGCTGGTCATGCTACAGCTACACTAATCTTCCTTCCTTTTTTTTTTTTTTTTGATAGTATTACAAGATAGGTAGAACAAAAGAATGTCAGCAACACAGTCTACCTAGATTCTAACAAAGCTTTTGACAAAAATCTCTTATGCTCTTCTTGTGGAAAAGATAGAGATGTACAGGATATTTGATAATAAAATTGGGTGGTTTTAAAACTGGGTGAATGGCCTGACCTAAAGATTATCATTAACAATTAATGTCAGTTTCATATCATAGATAGGGAACTAGAAAGGACCTCTGAGGTAATTGCTCCGACTCCTTCCCTTCATAGTTAAGGAGGTGATGTGACTCAATCAAAGTCACAGAGGCACCAAGAAAGCGGCAGAGGAAGGATTTGAACCCAGGTCCTCTCCAAATCCAGCACCTTTTCCCCTGTGCCACACAGGTCTAGACCCTCCAAAAAGGGGATTAAAAAATAAGAAGTGGAAGCAGCAAAGGGAGAGCATATAAAGGACTGTTAATTTAATTCAACACATAAATATTAATCATATGGAAGATACAAAGGGAGGGATAGCTTGAAGTCAGAAGGACCCAGGCTCCAATCAAGCCTCTGTCACTTGTTGGCTTTGAGATCTGGGGCAAATCCCTTCCCCTCTCAGCAGCCCAGGCACACTCCTGCAAGCAGCCTGAGCCCAGTGAAGAGGGTGCTTGTCTCTGCTATCATATGCACATGGATGAATAGTAATTATATATGTATATATGCGTGTGTATGTGCACGTCCATGTGCATATGTACACCTATAGTTATTTACATAGAATAGCTGCACGTATTAGTTACTGTATCTATCTGGATATACACACACACACACACACACACACACACACACACACACACATACACACTCATGTTGTTTTCTAAGTCACTCTGCTTCCATAGGGATCCTCATGAAGGGTTCAGTAGCCCCCATTTCTACTCACATTTGATAGCCCTGCTCCAGGCAATGCTAAAATCTGAAGTGATTGAGAAGAGATTCGCTAACAGGGGCAGAGAGTGTTTTCTTGTCTGAAAACTCTCCATACCAATGAAATCCTAGGTTTGTCCCTATCTCTACCTTAAAGAGCAAACATTGGGTCAGACTCTAGGAGTACAAGGGCAGATGAAAAACAAACATACATTCTCAAGGAACTTATAATTTTATGGAAAGAACACAAACGACTATGGTACAAGGCTAAGAAAAGGTACAGGTAAAATGCTGTCAGAAAAAGGCAAGGGAAGATTCATGGAAAAGGAGGCATCTGAGTAGAAATCTTAAAGGAAGAGAGGAGAAAAAGAGATGAGGGAAGTCATTCCAGGCTTGGAAAATGATTGTAGGTAAAAGTTTGTAGACAGAGGAGGAAAGCCAGAAAGGAAATGAAGAAAAGTCTGGTGTGGGTGGTACACAAAATATGGGAAAAGGAATAGGACTGGATAAAGCTAGACCAGTAGACTGACCTCCTTGCTCTCAAGGACATTATATCCTACTGGGGGAGACCAAAAAATACAAGGTAATTTGTAGGGAAGGGGGGCTGTAGTGGTACTGGAGGTCCCACAAAGCAGGTGGTGTTTGAGCTGAATTTAGAAGGAAGAAGAAAAGATAAGGAGGGAGTGCATTCTAGGAATGGAAGAAAATCAGTGCAAAGGCAAAGGGATGGCAGACAGAGTATTAGGGATGAGATCCAGTAAAGCTGATTTGACTTTGACTAAAGAGTGTGCAGTGGAATATTTTAAAAGGTTGGAAAGCTAGGTGAGGGCCAGTTTGTGAAGGGATTTTTAAAAGCCAAAGGATTTTATACTTTGATCCTAGAGGAAAATGGAGATGAGTTATAAAAAAAATAAATAAAACTTCCAAAGTGGATGGGATCTCTCTATCTACTGAGCTATCAAACCTAATGGTACCAAAAAAGAAACAAGCAGAGCCACAGTTCTGGATGATGAAATTTGAAACAAGCAAGGGTGTTCACTTTCATGTTTACTTTTTAAAATGTTAGCCTTTCCGATTTCCTTGGATGCCATAACAGAAATTCTTATTTTAACATATTTCTTTGATGATCACACACAATAACAATACACTTTAGTGGGCAAAGTTCCAAGACAATGATTCAACATTTCCTAATGTTACAAGAATAAATAAATAAAACTATATATACAATATATTCAATAAGGAAAAATACAAAGTAAACAATTTCCTAACAACAAAACGATTACAAGATAACATTAAATATATAACATATCCTCCTCCTTTATGTACACACAAATCACTATACAGACCTTGACATGCTATTCTGACTTGAGGTAAGTCCAACTTGCGGGGGCCCTCTGTAAGAAACACTTCCTGTGAAATAATGTTTTAAAATATCATACTTCTTGCTTCAATAAGACACTTTTTAGAAAGATAAAACAATTTGCTCTGATTCTACTTACTTTTTTTTTATCATTTTTTCCTCAAATAAATGTTACTTAATGCATTAATATTTAGGACACAACTTTCTTGCCCCACAATGCACAAGCATGCAACTCCTATGCCAAACATACACTTGAGTATATACAAACATGACTGAACAATGCACATACACATGTACGTATGTGTGTGTGTGTGTGTGTGTGTGTGTGTGTGTTTGTGTGTGTATCCAGAAAACCTGGGCTCCAGTTCTGGCTCTCTCACTTCACAGAATGTAAAGCTGTAGGATATCATAGATAGTGTGGTATTGGAGGAGGAGATCTGCACATGGAGTCAGAGGAAGTAGGTTCAAAATCCAGCTCCGCTATATTCTACCTGTATGGCCTCAGTTAAGTCACCTTCCTTCTGGAGGCCTTAATTCTCTCATCTGTAAAATGAGAAGGGTGAACAAAATAATCTCTGCTCCCTTCTAGCTCTGAATACTCTGATTCTAAAATCTGTGATTCTGTGCCCGTCCCTATACCTACACAAGGTGGTTGTGAGGAACAACTAAAAAAATATGTAAGGCATTTTATAAACTTGGTAACGTGAGCTGTTATTCTTATCTGAGCCTGTACTTTCCTTACTGTAAGACGGTGGTTCCCATTTAGTTGTTTGTGAACCCCCCCAGTAGGGGTTTGTGATGGTCAAAAAGGGTTCACGCTAAAAATTCTTTAATGGTTTCTTAATCAGTAAACACTTGTCCAATTATAATACATATACATATGTGTATATATATAAAGTATCTACACACACATATATATGACAAGAAGAATGTGTGTGTTTTGAACATTATAGGTTAGTTTCTGCAGTGATCTAGAACCATCATGATCATGAACACAACTACTGGTGTTCTTGCAGCAATTACATCAAACTCTGACCACTTCTAAGCTTAATGTATTCTTATAGTTTCTCAATCAATCATCAAATTGTTTCCATAATACCGTAAGGATTCAACATGTGATGTAAACTGTTTCCCAAAAAAATGGTCCAAAGCATGTGCATACCCTCTTTTGCATTCTGTACATTGCACCACAGTAGTGCCCTTATTCTCATTATCGTGGCTTGGCAGAAACAAAGCTCATAGCCTCTCAATGCAGTATTAAGACTGTTTTCCAATTTAAACTTATTCCTGTTTATGCTAGTATTCTTCTATCTGGCAGATTTTCAATCTGGTTGGTGACACTGGTCAGCCTTTCAGTAGAGTTTCTATGAATGTATAGCCCGTGTATCAGTGATAAAAGGAAGAAAGTTAATTCTGAAGAGATTCTTTTCTTACAATTGTTAATTTATATACAAACACTGTTAAAACAATATATGCAACTAAATTTTGGGTACATTTATCATTTCATAAAGCATTTGTCATTAGCCAGTAGAAAAGTAAATCCTTCATATTATAATTAGCTACTCATTTTTGTTAACTGGTTAAGTAGCCATATATTCTAGAGTCTGTGTATAAATGTGACAGTAGTGTTTAGCTGCATAAGTGTCCTAATGCCTGTCTATTGGAAACACACAGGAATACATTTATATCAATTGTATTAGCATAGAATTAATATATATATATTTAATAAGTTATTGAATACAAAAATGAAATTTTTGTAGGAATATTTTCATTTTATTTGAAAAAAATTATAACAGTCCCAGTGAATCACTGGATTGAGACTAGAAGTGTATAAAAAAAAAAGAATGCTTTAAGATGTGTTAATAAGGAATCTCAAAATATTCACTCAAATTCAGTATACTATAATCCAAAAACTAGTAAAAGTCAATGGATAAATCATAATTCTGAATAATGTACAAAGATGCTTGAGATACCTGAATTACAACAAGAATGATAAAGAGGAAATACAATGAAGAACCCATTAAATTTGGTTCCTCATTTATTGGATAAAATGACTATCCATGATCGCAAAGTATAATTTGTGGAGTTCTTGCATAATAGCAGCTGAAAACTTTTCCTTTTGTTTTGCTATTTACAATCAAAACATGAAAGCAATGTTGATAAGCCTGTTGGTTTTTTTAAGTGGACAGAACAAGATCTGAAAACACACAATACTGACTCACTTTTTTCTATGAACAAGTAAAAAAAGAACTTTGAACTTCATATTTAATAAGTTATCAAATTGCAAAAAATAAAATAAATAAAAAACTTAATTCTGACATGTGCCAAAGCAATTATCAGGTTTAACTTTGGATACTATTGCATCAAAAAGTTCTGAAACAGTTACTGGAGAAAAACCTACAAAAAGAACACTTATGCTCTGCAATTAGATGGGACAGCTGATGCTTGTAATCCAACAATTTTAATTATATTTGTAAGATATATTTGCAGGATGGTAAAGTAGAGGAAAATATGCTGTTTTGTCATCATTAAGAGAAGGAGAAACCATTTTTAACCTAATTCATACTTTGAAGGAAAACAAATCAGTTGGTCCTCTTGTTGTGGAATGTGTACAGACAGAGCACAATTGATGATTCAGCAATTTAGGGGTGCTGTTCATGTCCTGAAAAAATGAATGCAAATATAGTACAGACACACTAAAGCATCCACAGACAAGCACTGGCACTGAACAGATAGCCACAATAACTGATTTTATAAAGTCAAGACCTACTTGGTTATTTATCATTTTGTGTAAACACCTGGGTAGCAAGCAGGTTACACTTCTAACAGACAGATTTTGGGTGACTTTCCCATAGTCGAATTACTACTCATCTATTGGATTTGAAAAACGAGTTGGTTGTCACCTTCACTGACCATCCTTTTCACCTGAATGTACCAGTGATATGACTAAGAAGATTATCATGTTGAGCAAGTATCTTTTTTAAAAATCAATGAGCTCAACACACTATTATAGGGTACAAATATAAACTTTCAATGTTCAAGGTAAAAGATGTGACTAAGAAACTAAAATTTTGGAACTACACAATTGGGAACAGTGCTGCAGGCTTTGTGACATTACATCATCTCTGATTACAAAATGAACTATCCTTGGAGCTTTAGCTCTGTCCTTGGAACTATCTCTGAACTAGCCTTGGATCAGACTGTCAAGAAAGACATCGGGGAGCATCTAAAATTCTTAGAAGTGACTTTCGATTAATAAAACAATTTTTCCAGAAATTTCTAATAAATCAAATTGGATTCACAACCCATTTGACAAGTCTTTTAGGTCTCGGGCTGGTGAACTGACAATAGATGAAAAAGAAAAATGATTTTTTTCAATGGATTTGGGACCATAAACATCATTCAAAATTGATAGCCTTATACATTTTTGGCTAAAAATAAAAAAATTAAGTTCCATTTCTCAGCAAGAGAACTAGTAAAATTTTCGTACTACTCATATTTTTGGGTGAATGAGCATTTTAATTTTATTCTTGTTTTAAATAAAAATACAGAATTAAACTCGAAGAAAAACTAGCTTTAAGACTACTATTAAGCCAAATATTTCAAACTTTTGCCCAAACAAAAAAGTCCACCAAAACTAAGTTTACATATGATTATTATAGTATGTAAAGTTTCTTATAAGATGAAATTTATTGCATTAAAATGTTATTTATGTTTAACAAAATTTGTTAAAGAAATTCAATATGAAGTATTACAAATCATCATAATAAAGATATGAGGTCTGGCTGTATTACTTCTTTTATTTCTTATGGAATGTCCCCCATAAAATATTCATGATTTTATCACTTGAATTTTATAATTTTATCATTTGAATTTTAAAATTTTATACTTAGTTTTAAATTTTTAGGCAGAAAAATTTTTTAATTTTAAATTTGAAACTTTTGGGAGCAAAAATTAACTATATTGTTAACATTTAATGAATAAAAACTAAAAATACTATGAGTAGAATATTAAATTACTCCGGGGATTCCCAACACACTTTTTGTAGTTGTTACTGAAAGGGGTTCCTGGAACCAAAAATCATTGAGAATTACTACTACAGGCAAAACAAAAATGAGCAACTTTTATAACCCAAAGCAAGCATGTTTGGGATATGCATTATTAAAGGGGTGGGAGTTAGGGTGGGATCTTGGGAAAACATTAGATGAAGAGAAGGGAGGTAGGGAGGGCCAAGGAGTTTACTTGAGAAGGGTACGGCAGAGATGGTAGGCAGAAACGTGGAGCTACCCTGGGAGTTTCCTATTTTAGATAATTATTCAAGCTAATTAGGCACAAAGTTCAGTTGTTTCTAAAATGCTAAAAGACTGAAAGCGTTTTAAGTGTCCTCTCATTTTTGCTACATTAGCATAAAGTCCCAGTAGTTGTTTGTTGACCATCTTCTTCCAGTTACAGCTCTGGCTGGGGTTAAGATTAAGAATGCAATCTATAGTCACATGAAAAAATGTTCTAAATCACTATTAATTAGAGAAATGCAAATCAAAACAACTCTGAGGTACCATATCACACCTATCAGATTGGCCAACATGACAAAACAGGAAAATGATAAATGTTGGAGAAGATGTGGGAAAACTGGAACACTAATGCATCGTTGGTGGAGTTGTGAAACGATCCAACCATTTTGGAGAGCAATTTGGAACTATGCCCAAAGGGCTATCAAAATGTGCATATCCTTTGACCCTGCAATAGCACTTCTAGGGCTATATCCCAAACAGATCATACAAATGGGAAAAGGACCCACATGCACAAAAATATTTATAGCAGCTCTTTTTGTAGTGGCAAAGAATTGGAAATTGAGAGGATGCCCATCAACTGGGGAATGGCTGAACAAGTTGTGGTATATGAATGTGATGGAATACTATTGTGCTATAAGAAATGATGAACAGGCTAACTTCAGAAAAACCTGGAAAGACTTGTATGGTCTGATGCTGAGTGAAGCGAGCAGAACCAAGAGAACGTTGTACACAGTAACAGCCACGTTGTGCGATGACTAATATTGATAAACTTAACCCTTCCCAGCAATACAAGGATCTAAGACATCTCCAAAGGCCTCGTGATAGAAATGCTATCCACATCCAAAGAAAGAACTATGGAGTTTGAATGCAGACTGAAGCATACTATTTGCTATTTTTTTTTCTTCTGTTGAGTTTTGTTTCCTCTTTCTGGTGGTTCCTCCTATTGGTTCTAATTCTTACTTACAACAGCACTAATGTAAAAATATGTTTAATAGGAATGTATATGTACAGCCTACACCAGATTGTGCGCCGTCTTGGGGAGCGTGGTGGGGAGAAAGGGGGAGAAAAATTTTAAACTCAAAAGCATATGGGAGTGATTGTTGATAAATCAAAATAAATTAATTAAAAAAAGATTAAGAATACAAAATAGTGGGAGTAGAAGGTAAAAAGGAAGTGAGGTCTAGGTTGTAGAGGGTTCTGAATATGAGGCTCTGGGATGGGTAATTCATTTATAAGACAATGGGGAGCCACTTAAAAGTTTCTGAGCAGAGGAATGGGTTACTACACGTGAACTTTAGGAAGACAAAGATATCAATAATGTACAGGATTGTTTCAAGGATTACAAGGGATCTTCTAGATAAACTTCAATGATTTTTTAAAAAATGTTTTAATTTTTAAATATTTTACTTTAAACATTCCTTTTTTGAGTACCAAATTCTCTCCATCCTTCTAGCTCCTCCTCCACCCAATGAGAAAGCAAGCAACAGGATATCCATTATATATGTGAAGTTATAAAAAACATATTGTCATATCAATCATGTTGTAACAAAGAGGAAGAAAAGAAAGTGAAAGAAATGCAGTCACAGTTCATCAGCTCTCTCTATGGAGGTGGACAGCAGTTCTTCATCATGAGTCCTTGGGAACTGCCATGGATCACTGCAGTGATCAGAGGACCTGCGTCTTTCACGGTTATTACAATATTCTTGATAGCGTGTATAGTGTTTCCCGATTCTACTCACTTCACTTTGCATTATTTCATATGTCCTCTCAGATTTTTCCAACTGCTTCTTTTAACAGATGAAGAAACTAAGGCCCAGAGAGAAGTGTCTTGGTCACAGTCATACATCTAATTAGCAGTGAGGTTAGGCTTAAACCTGGCTCCTCTGACTCAAGGCCCAGTGTTCTTTCTGCTGTCCAGTGCTCACGCTGAGAGGAAGCCAATGAAGACCTCGAGTGAAGGAGGTCCCCCAGCCCAACTTTTGGACAGACTGTGATGACGGACGCTTCTCCCTGTATCAAGCCTCAGCCTGCTTCTTTGCAAGCTCCACCCACAGTTCCAAATTCACCCCTCCAGAGCAGGCAGAACAAGTCTATTCTCTCTTCTGTGTGACAGCCTTTTAAATACTGGAGGGCAATTATTGCTTTTTTGTTAAGTCTTCATATTCCCGTCACCCAGAGATGTGCCAAGCTCTCTGAACCCCAAGTTCTGTCTCATGCTATTCCTTCTATCTCCATCTCTGTCGAAATCTACACAAAATCCTACACAATGAGATAAAGTAATGATGGCAGAGATATGGAGCTGATTTCTAGAAACCACCATTTGGAACCAAGTACACTGAATAAGGTAAGGGATCAAGTTAAATAACAGAAATGTTTGGTCGAAACCAATTTGAATATAAAGTCATGAGTTTGATTTTGTTGTGAGACTTGTTAACTGGCCCTGAAGTCAAATCCAAAAGAGGAGTTCCAAAATTGTTCTTAACAATGGCTATAGATTAGAATTATATTTCATATACGTGTGTGTATATGTATGTATATATATATGTGTGTGTATGTATGTATGTGTATATATGTGTACATATGTGTGTATGAAATAATTTAGAATGAAACTACAAAAATGATATTTTTACATACCCATACGTCCATCTTGAGGTGGACTGATCAGTGAGAGCCTTGCAGGGCCTGCTGCTGTCTCAAGCTAAGTCAAATGTTTAAAAAATTTGAAATATTATAAAATCAATATTTTCCATTACAAATATTTTAGTAAGATCAACAGCATAATTGATATATTTTACGTGAGCTCATTGATAATTTTTTGGAGACTGAGTACAAAAGATTTCAGAATCAAAATTTTTTTTTCAATTCAAGAAATATTTATTGAGCACCTGCTATGTTCACAACCCTGTGCTATAAATTAAGGATACAAAGTTGAAAAATAACATAGTACCTGCTCTCAAGAATCTTACAATCTAAAGTATGGGAGTGTTCTAAGATATATAAAAACTTCTATAATACAAAGCAGAATGTGATTATAGCAAAGATGATATTGAGATTTGGGTTTTTTAAATATTTTATTGAAAATCTCTGAGAAAGGACACTGCAATCTTACATTAAATTAACACCCCAGGAATAATGGACAGAGGATCGGGCTATGAACAAGAGACTCAGATTCTTTCTCATCACCTTGCACCTGAACCACTACCACAACCTCCTCACTTTTTTGTCTCGTTCCATTCTAGTCCATCAAACACAGATATAATCATGCCACTACCCTGCTCAGAAATATTTAATGACTTCTTACTGTACACTGAATGCAATCCAAGTTTCTTACCCTGGACATAGTCAAATTCCTTTTCAGAGAAATATAAAGGTTAATTATAATTACCTCATAAGGTAAGCTGGTATAGGAGATAGAGAGTTGGTTTAGAAACCGGGAAGATCTGGGTTCAAGTCCTGCTTCTGACATGTGCTGTCTGTGTGACCCTGGGCAGATCACTTCCCCTCTCAATGCTCTAGGCAACTCTCTGCAACTCTAAGTTTCAGAGAAGATGCTGACCTGCATTAATTGGAGCTTGCTCACCCAAGATCATCTTATACCAATGAAACCACAAGTCCCATCCCTATCTCTGTATAATTAAAAAAAATAATCCAGCCTCAAATACTTACTAGCTGTGTGACCCTGGGCAAATCACTTAACCTCAACTGCCTCACCAAAAAGCAAAAAAAAATTAATTCAACAAAATACTGAAGGCCCTTTCCCACTCTAAAATTCCATATTCTTAATTGAGCATTAATTTTATAGTCTATGCCTTAACTCAGCACAATGGGTAGAGATAGCCTGGGGTGTGCATGGGTGACAGCCCTGATCCATAACGGCTAGGACCCTGTGCAAATTCCTTAACTTCTCAGTAAGGGCCTCCCCAGAGCTCCCTTCACAGATGGAATCACAGAGCCAGTTAAAAAAAAAATCTGTTTCAAAGATGGTTCAAACAGGGTGCTTATTACTAGGAGATACAACTTCAGGTAAGACCTGCTTCTGCCTTCACTGGGTCAGAGCACAAGACAGCAACATAAATAGCTACCACATAATGTGACATGTGAAGGGTCCTAGAGGGGCACAAACAAGGTACTGTGTGAGGGTCTGAGATGCAAGGTCCTTAGTTAATGACCAGGGAATCAGGGAAGGCTTCATGCTAGAGATGAAATTTGAATTAGAATCTAGAGGATGAGTAGGAACAAAACAAGTAGAGAGGGGGAGGGAGAGGAAGGACACATTCTAGACCTAGAGAGTACACTAGTAGTTTGCAGGATTATTTCATAAGGCAAGGCTGTGGAGGCACAGGAGTACAGCACATGTCTGAGGGACGGCTGAAGTGGGCTGTGTGGAGGGGAGTATTCTGAAATAAACCAGGAAAGGCAGACTGGTGCCAAATTAGGGAGGACCGTGATTGTCAGGCAAAGGAGTTTGAATCAAAGAAACACATCTAGAAGAAATATTAAATATCCAGACCTGGGCCCACGGAGCAATCTATTTTAAGATAGAGATATTTAGTCTCTCATTTGAAAGGTTTAAATAAAGTAATCTATAGCCACACTTTACAATCACTGAACTGCTTGCATTCATCTCCTCAAGTATTTTGGCAACCTCATGTAGCTGAATCTTGGACCTCTATGATGGCTATTAACACTAGTTCTGACATCCTCGGAGAGAGACAATTTACTACATTAGACCAAGGGTTATACTCTTAATACAGGTCTATAACATTCCACCTTCCCTAACTGCTGAACACTCCTAAACATAAACCTGGGATTCCTGGCACTATTATTATTTGATGACTTTATCACCTCAGCTCAGGCACTTGGCAGAGATGACAGGGGAAGAAGGTATCTAGAGGAGAGAAGGTATTTTGTGAACCTACCACCAAATCTGTCAGACACAGCCTAACACAAGTAAAAATGTTGTCAATCACAAAGTTGGAAGAATTTGTGGAACTACCTATGGTTCACTTTCATGGAGCTTATTAAGTTCCCGTATAAAGATAAAGGATGTCAAATAAATTAACTTACTTTTCTCATTGGGGAAGGTGAAAGATCAATGTCCATTGACTCCACTCTGGTAAATATACAACATATGAATTAACCCCAGCACTGAATTACATTTAACTAGTAAACTTCAATATTTCAAGGATCCATGATTTTAGCTATTTTGGTACTCCTCCTACTAACACATAAAGCAACTCTTTCAGGGGGATTAATGAGTTGCTTTGCTCCCAGAAAACCATATTCTGGGGCCCACACCAGGATGATAAGTCTCTCCAAACCTAGCTTGGTCCTCAGACAACACTCCATCACTGGTTCCATATTTAAAAGCTTTCAAAATTGGCTGGTCCTGCCAGAGCTTGTGATCCACTGGCATGACCTTTGAAAGCCCCAAGTCTCACCTCCATGCTACAATGAAGGATCAGACTAAGCCTCTATTAAAAATTGTCAAAACAATATATTAACAACAATATTAAAAAACCTGAATTAACTAGCCTAGGTGTTGCATAGAATGTCTAAGGAAAAATTAGAAAGGGAGAAGAAAAATAAGAATATAGAATAAGAAAGAAAGCAGAGAAAAAGAAAGTGGAAAAAAAAGCAACCAATCTCTCAACCAAATAGTTATAAAATGCCTATTACAGAACCACAGGCACTGTATGCCATAAGGGAAAGAGAAAAATAAAAGGTTGCATATGGTGGAAAGTGATATCAACAAATACTTATGTGCCAATTAATGGCACCTTTTTATCAAGAGTAGCTAACTTCTAAATTAGTGGATCATTTTATCTAAGGATTTTTTGAGCCTAAAACTCAAAACATCCATAAAGGCCCTTCTTTGAAGCTTCATTCTGGTGTAGAGATGACCATACAATATGCTAAGGCTCTACCAAACTAGAAAGGTTTCAAATATGGCACCAGCAACAGATGGGAAGTCTTAAGGAAGGGAAGATAGTGAAGTAGCTATTATATGCAAGTGTATATAAGGTATGCAGTCTTTCTGACAAGACAAAAGGAGAAAAAGAGAAAGGAAGGGCTTATATAAATTCTGCAGGTCAAATTAAAGTTTTCCCCAAATTCTTTGTAAGGCTAAACTGAGTCACTACCAACTCTGTGGGAGAAATACTCATTTTCCCTGTTAGCAGATACATACATACATTTTGGAGGTTGATGAGTAAGCTGGCAAGAATGAATATGATGAATATCCAACTGGTTTTGCTGAAGAAGCTGTGATAAACAGTAAATTTAATGTCACGATCTTGTTTAGTGGACTTGGAGGACATATACTTTAAAATTATGCATCTTTATTCATTATTATACTTACTTGAAACTGAGTTTTTTACTGGCTTAGAAACAGATAACTGCACAGTTTGTTGAGATGACCCCTTACTAAAAAGGGGTAAGAAAAGAAACCAAATTAAAACATTAAAAACTCAGAATAAATTGATTCATTTAAATTAGTACAAAATACCATACAATTAAAAAACAGCAATACTTCTGAAAATAAGTTTTATTTATAGAAGTCATGCTTCTGAAAAAAAAAAAGTATTTCAAAACACTTTTCTGCCTCCCTGCCTGGCATGGTGGTTATTTGGAAAACTATGGGGAAACAACGAAACCATCATTAGTGATTTCACTCATTTACCAAATTGTTATTACTTAGGAGCTTGGCAAGTCACTTCATCTCTCTGGACCTAAGTTTCCTCATCCGGAAAATGGGGATAATACTTGCACTGCTGAGCAACATTAACTACAGAAAGCTACATAAATAATTATTATTATTGGTAAATTTCAGGCTAATTGGTCCACATGAAATAAAAAAAGTAACAATAACAGCTACTTAACCCATCATACTATGTTTTTAAGTGTCATCAAAAGAACTGTCATTGTGAACTTTTTTTTTTTTTTGGGTGAGGTAATCAGGGTTAAGTGATTTGCCACAGCTATTAAATGTCAAGTGTCTGAGGCTGGATTTAAACTCAGGACTTTCTGACTCCAAGGCCAGAGCTCAGCTCTATCCATTGCGCCACCTAGCTGCCCCACTGTGAACATTTTATTCCTGTTGAAATGGCCAGTTTCAGGACATTCATGACCACAGGATCACAGATACAGAGCTGAATAGGATGTCAGAACAACCGTCTCGTTTTATAAAGGAGGAAAGTGAGGCTCAGGTAAAGTAACTGAGTTACCCAATGCTACACAAGTAACAAGTACCAAAGGCAACATCTGAACTCAGGTCCTCTTACTCCAATGTCAGTGCTCTTTCCATCATACCAGGATAAGCTAATATAATTACTAAATCATTTATTTATATGCATAAATTAAATGTTTCGGGATAGTAGGGCTCTATTTTATACAAGAGCTCTCTGAGGGCACTTGATTTAATTCAACAAATAATTTTTAAGGGCCTACTGTATGAAAAATACTATATTAAGTCCTAGGTGAGATATGATATTTCAATAAGGTATAGTCTCTGTCCTCAGCAAGCTTATAATCCAATGGGTGGAAGGGATGACTCATGCACAAATGACTACAGAAGACAGTAAAATATATGAAGTGTCTTCAGAGATGTACAACAAAGTGCCACCTGAAATCCAAAGGGGACAAAATCATTACCAACTGGGAGGATCAAGGACAGTTTCACGATTTCAATCAGGATTGAAAGCAGGAGTTCTTAATCTGGGGTCTCTGAACTTTTTTTTTTAATACATGTTTCAATATATGTGGTTTCCTATGTAATTCTATGTTTTTTTTTTAATTTCATAGGCTTCACCAAACTACCAAAGAGGTCCATGACACAGAAAGGATTAATAACCTCTGTTTTAAAGGGCAGGCAAGAACTTAATGGGCAGCGTAGTGTATATACAGACATGGAAGAAGATCAAATGAGTTACTAAACCAAGTGCAGTATGAGCAAGGGAATGATGGGGACAAGAGCAGGGTGAATGTCAGGGACAGCAAATGTTCAGTTTGGGTAGAATATACAATGCGTAGAGGGAACTAGGATTAAATAAGACTGGAAAGGTAGGACAGCTCCAGACAATGGAAGAACATCAGGCAAAGAAGCCGAACTTTACTTGGTATGCAAAAGGAAAATCTTGAAGGGATTTGAACAGAAATGTGACATCAGTAGATTAAAAAAGAAGCAAAGTCTGGCAGTGGTGTGCAGAATGGTTTGGAAGAAGAAGAGAAGAGCAGGGGAAGATCCATGAGGAATCTACTGCCATAGTTCATGTGGGTGGGAATAAGGGTCTTCACTAGAGTGATGAAAAGGAGAGGATGCTAGAGATGTGGTGGTGGCAGAGAAGGACTCAATAAAACTCAGCAACTAATTTGATATGAGAAATGCAGAAGAAGGGTTAAAGGTAAGACTGAGATAACGAACATGAGAGCCTGGGTTGGTGAATGAATACTGGTTCAACAACTAAAATGGTTGCTGCTGTCATTGCAGAGTTTATATACAAAATTCACAGTAAGGGCACCAGACTTGCAGTCAAGAGCCTAGGTTCAAATTCCTGCTCAGACATGGGCTATACAATCTGAGCCTCAGTTTACTCATCTTGATAATCCTTGCCCTGGTTATCTCACAGGGTGGTTGTAAGGAAAATGTTTTGTAAGCTTCAAAGTGCTACATAACTGCAATTTACTTTTGAAGACTTACTAAAAGCTTAATTTCACCTTACCTTTGAATCTGCTGTATCTGCTGTGTTAATGTTTTAAGAGATTCTTCTAATTTTGAAATCTAAATATAATCAAACGATTCCCATGTATCAGAATGAATATACCAGCTATGCCAATATTAATTAACAATACATTTTGACAGTTAAATTTGTTACTACATAACAAAATCAAAGTTACATAAAATGAGCATTTATGCTATATATTAGCATATTTAATAAGTGGCATAAATTTACATATTTATTTAGAAAATATTTGCTTTGAAGACTAGGAATTGAAAAATATTATATTCTATGGACAGTGGTTTGGCTAATATAAAGTCTCGATCTTCTTGCCATTTTAACTTCGAATCAATTATCTCAGGAAAAAAATTGGTCAGACTCCAGATAATATGTGCTCAAAATAAAATTAACCACATCACACTCATTGGAAGTTTCAGTCTAAAAAAACTAGCTCCATCCCAAGCATCAAAAAGAGACACTCTCTAGCTACCTTAATATTACAAATAATTCTTTCAGAAATAGCACTAGGCTAACCCAGGACAATGTTTGTACTTTTTTATTATGAGGACCACTTCTTAACACCAACAAATTTCAGTGACCTCCCCCATAATAACAATGGTACTGTTAAGAGACGATGAGAAAATACATGATGAAAAAAGCTATGATGAATTTGATAATGATTTAAACAAAGGTACATTTTATTAATCACAATAGCATCTGCACATGCATCCATGACTTCTTCGATATGGATATTCCTTCTATCAGTGTAGATCCCAACCTATTTGCCACTTTTCATGTAAGATTTTTATCCATAATTTCTTATAACTCTTACAACATAAAATCTACTCAAGTCCTGGAGGATTTCCTCAAAGTTGTCAACCTTTCGTGAATACCAGTGCAACATTCAAGGCGTCCACTTGTTCTTCCTTGCTCTCACTACCTAACTGGACTATCTGTTTTTTTAATAACACATTTATGTGATGATATTCCTTATGTTGCTTTTTGCATAGAGGTCATCACTGCAACCTACTTTACTCCCATTACGAGTCTGCCTACGGCCCCTGGCTTTATTTTGATTCTCTGGAGATTGCAGGATTACAGAATTCATAACCATAAAGCATTACCAAGAGAATGTTACAAGAAGAATTAAAAAACTGGGTTTTCTCATCAGGAAGCAGCTTGGGATTGTTGAAACCAGTGTGCTTTTTCTCAAACTGAATCTGACCACTTTCTTCCTCCTGTTCCAACCGGACGTTCTATAAGGCATCAAAAACAGAACACATTATCTATACTCCTTCTTCTTCCTAATTTCCCTATTTCTGTTGAGGACACTACCACTCTCCTTCTAGTCACCCAGGTTCACAACTTTGGAATCATTCTCATCTTTCTACTCTCTTTGATCTCATTCATCTAATAACTTGCCAAATCCTGTCAATTTTACCTCCACAGCATTTCTCACAACCATCTCCTTCTCTCCACTCACATGGTCCCCACCTCATATAGGCCCTCCTAACTTCTCACCTGGACCACTGCACCAGACTTTTAATTAGCATCTCTGCCTTGTCTGTCTCCTCTGTCCAATTTAGTCACAGATACTTTTAAAGCACAGGTCTGACCATGTCACTTCCCTGCTCAGAAAGCTCCAATGGTCCTCTATAACCTCTTGGATCAAACACAAATTGCTCAGCTTGGCTTTTAAAGCCCTTTCATGATCTGGCGCCGGTTTACTGCATAGCACTGGGCTTAGAGTCAGGAAGACTCATCCTCCTAAGTTCAAATCTGGTCTTAGACACTTAATAGCTGTGTGACACTGGGAAAGTCACCTAACCCTGGTTGCCTCAGTTTCCTCATCTGTAAAATGAGTTGGAGAAGGAAATGGCAAACTCCTCCAGTATCTTTGCCAAGAAAACCTCAAATGGGGTCACAAAGAATTGGACAGGACTGAAAAACAACTGAACATGAGGCAGTGACTAGTTGCTGAGGATACAAATACAAAGGATAAAACAATTTTTACCCTTAAGGAGCTTAAATTCTCTCACGAGAGATAAAATATACATACAAATTATAATATATAAAGAATGCTACTCTCTACCTTGTGACCTTGGCCAAATCCCTTCACCTCTGAGCCCCCTTCCTCCTTTGTGAAATGAAGGGCTCGACCTAAATGATGTCTAAGCTCCCTTTCTGTGATTCTCTGTCAGGGTTCCCTAACCAGGAGAGTCTGATGTACCAGGAGATCCTGAATCCTTCTGGATTCCAAGCTGGATGCAGCCTGAGGTTTACCAGTATTTTTAGGCAATGCTGTTCCTTCTCCTGCTCCCTCCACCCCCACCCCAGGGACATAACTCTACAGATCAATAATACAGCCACCCTGAGAATGCTGACAAATGACACAGAACCCCCCTTCCCCAAAAGGTTGTGTACCCTGCCCCATATGTTCCCTTTTTTGCCAACATTGCTCAATCCAGATTGAAAATATCTCCAGAAGAAGCATGAAACCTTTAACCCTCATTTGGCTTCAAAACAAGAAGTCCACAGCAGGGCTTTTACCCAAGCACAAAAATTTAGAAGGGCGTCATTTCCTCATCCTTTCCCTCTATCACCCAGTGACAATTTAGGTCCTGGCATTATATGTAAAAACAGCCCAATTACTAAGAGAATTGTCTTTATCCTTCCGAAACATCAAATCTGATGTGGGTGAGGCTTCCTCTTAGGGATCTAACTTCTGCTCTGAATACCATTAAAACTATTTTTCTCTCCACTAGCAGCCCAACACAAAACAAACAAACAAACAAACATGTTTTTACAGAAAAATCTCACAGTAAAACTTTTGGAGGTCAGCAAACAAGTTACAATAGTCACTTCTCAACTTCAACTAACTGCCCTTTGCCAGATCAGTTAGCTAGGCAATGGGGTACAGACAATTCAGGTATGAAAACTACTGTCCTTACAAAAGACAAAGACTTCTACATTAAAAAAAAATTCTTAAAACTCCCAACCTCCAGGACTGAGAAGGTATAATTCCTAAAATAATTTCAAAAGTTTCAGTATTAACACTATTCTTTCCAAGATACCTCAGCCAGAAAGTATCATGAAAACTGGGGCTGGAAGGGTGAGGAAGGGCAAGTAGTCTGGAGCTCAGGGAAGGGTAGCTAAGGGCTTAGGGCACAAACTGAGGGCCTCAGCTTCTCAAATGCCACCGGCTCCCCACACGACTCCACGCTACTGGCCCTGCTTCCACTGCAACTACCGTTTCCTCCCCTAGGCAAGTCACAGCCCCTGAAGGTAGCTCCCATCTGCTTTTTCTCCCTGTAGCCCAAGGCTGGGTGAAATAGCATGTCCTCCTCCTCTACCTTGAGGATCATGAGTGGTCACTGGCTTCTGCTGTGCAGGGCACAGGTTGTACTTTACCAAATGAAATAAAGCCACCTATGGGTAATGAAGGTGAAGGCCCATGTGAAGCAGGGTCCTGAGGTATTCTCAGGTAAGATCACCAACACATTCCTCTGTGCTGTCCCTTCTAGAAGCTGTCTTGTCTTTCTTCCCCAGCCCCCACCCCTCTTTGCCTTAGGCACCAAAATTTCAGGTCACCTTAACTCCAACAACCTGGAAAGAATCTAATGGAGGCTGCTGGTTAGTGTAATACTTAGGCACTATCGAAATGGGGCAGCCTAATTTCTCAAAGAAGGAAAGAACAATGATGAGGCAGTCTGGGGCCTGTCAAAAGGACTTTCAGGCTGATAGCTACGTAAATTGATGATAGAGTTCTAAGGTTCCAAAGTAAATTTCTTAAACCCAAGTCATTCCTTCACATATATAGTAAAAACCTTTAGAAAGCTATGAAAAAAGAGCTTTAAGATCCACTTTGAAGTCTAAAAAGAAAAGCTGTACACAAGAGGTTTTGCAGGACTTCAAAGGCCAGTGATAACTCCTGGTAATTAACTCTGACATTCACAGCCAGGTGAAGAGCAGAGTAGACAAGAACAGTTTAACACCGACACATCCCACTCTCAGCCTGTCCAAAAACTCTCTGCTCCTTTCTCCCTCTCCAAGTACCATGGCCTCCCACTCTCTCTCCCTGGGCCCATTCAGCTCTCGCCCCATTTCCCTACACCTCCTTTTTCTCTCCGCCCCCAACCTTCCTGCCAATGATCCCTTTCTCACTTGCAGCCAACCCCCTCCCACTCTGCCAGAAGGAACCTAGAATGCCTGTTCTGCTCTAACCTTTCAGCCCACTCCCCTCCTCTCCAAATCCCTCCGAGCTTCAGGACCGTGCTGCAGTGCAGCACCTTCAGGACTCCTGAGTCTTGCCATCCACAGCCTCTTAGGACCCTCAGCCTTTTCATCCACCCTAACGCTGCATGCTCCTACATGTGTTCTCTCCCCCAATCACAGTGTAAGTCATTTGAGAACAAAGATTCTTCTTTTTCTATCTGTATTCCCAATACTTAGCACGGTGCTTGACATAGAGTAAGGACATCTTTTTTCAAATGTTTTTATCAATTAGTCATTATTCATAGAAGCCCTCCTATTCCTTACCTATCCTAACTCAATAAAATAGGGAATAAAAGTTCTAAAAATCATTTGTCGTTTTACTTAAAACCAAGATGCTTGTATCATTGATACTAAGTGATATCACTCTATCTATTTATTCCAATTTTGTTCAGTTGTATCTAACTCTCCATGACCCCATGGAGTTCTTAGCAAAGATACTGGAGTGGTTTGCCATTTCCTTCTCCAGCTCATTTTACAGATAAGGAAACTGAGGCAAACAGGGTTAAGTGACTTGCCCAGGTTCACACGGCTAGTAAGTGTCTGAGTTCAGATTTGAACTCACAAAGATGAGTCTTCCAGGTCCAATACTCTATCCATCGTGCCACCTAGCTGCCCATTCCAATTTTGTAATACATTATATGTGAGAATCTTCTTTTTTTAATTTTTTTTTTTATTGGGGTTAAGTGACTTGCCCAGGGTCACACAGCTAGTAAGTGTCAAGTATTTGGTCTGAGGCCGGATTTGAACTCAGGTCCTCCTGACTTCAGGGCCAGTGCTCTATCCACTGCGCCACCTAGCTGCCCCTGTGAGAATCTTTTTCAGTACCTCCAGTAACTATAAACATTTGGTCCACTTTGGTTATATTATACTGAGTCTCTAGGGGAAAAAAATAAGAGAGTACATTCCCAGCCCCAGCTAGATGTCATGTAAATGTGTGCCAGTGCATATGGGGGGAGCTATGTAAGAGACTCTATGGAACAGGGCAAGCCCATTCCCAATACTGAAAAAGCAATTCAAAGGTTCTGTCCTACTGACCGTTATTCTAGCATCAGCTTCATAACACTCAGGGAGCACAAAACCTTAAATCGCAACTCTGGCATTCAGAGTCAAAATCAGACTTACCTTTTCTCTATAGAATGCTAACAACCTCCTCCTGTGTTTTTCTTGAAATTCTGATATCTAAAAATAAAATATAAATTTCAGCTGCTGACATATGTTCCTATCCACAAGCCCCATTTTACTTTATCAGCATTATTACTTTATTAGCAGTAATTAAGTGGTCTGAAGAAAAGTATTTAAGTCAGAAACATTTTTGTAACATTTTTATATGAAATGTAATCAAATGCAGATATAAATTGCCCCACAGTTTCAGTATGGGAGGCTCACTGAAAACAATTTGTTTAAGTCTAACCATGACTAAAACGTAATGAGATTTTTATTGAATACAGTAATGTCTCATTAATCTGGCATTCTATAAGGCAGTTAGACTGCTAGTTTTGCTATGCACAGAAGACTGGATTTGAAGTCAGGAAGACCAGTTCAAATCCTGCCATAGGCACTAACTAGCTGTGACCCTGGACAAGTCATTTAACCTCTCTGAGCCTCAGTTTCCTCAGCTGTAAAATGGGGATGATAACAGCACCTTCCTCCCAGAATTGACTTACACATAATATAAATGTTAGCTATTGTTACTACTATTATTATTTTTCATATGTAAAGCACTTTTCAAACCTTAAAAAGCTATATAAATGTTAGCTATTATTATTATTAATTTCAACTAGGGAAAAAGCTATTCCTACAATTTTTGAAATAACTAAAATTTAACTTTTTAAACACCAAAATTAATGGAGGTGGTGTAGTACAATGGGAAAAGCACTAGAGTCAGAGGACCTGACTTTGAGTCCTGGCTTTCCCAATGACTACCACAGCCTGACCTCGGGCCCTTTCTAGGACAGAGTTTCTTCATCTATAAAATGAAGGGGGTTGGCCTAGAAGGTTTCACTGGTCCCCTTCCAGAATAAAATCTATGATCCTACAAATCCTATGAATTTTAAACAATTGAGCTATTTGGGATGAAAATCTGTCTAAAATATATGACACACTCTCCTGTCTTCTCAAGGAAACAAATTTTTTTGATGCCTCAGGGTGTGGCAGGTATAATATTTATTTGGGTCCCAGCCTTGAACGTGGCTAGTTTTCTCTTAAAAGACATGGAAGTAATCCCAGAGACTTGACTGGTCCAAGGTATTAGAGAAAGAACTACTGGCCAGTTTCCTGGGGCCTGAGAGATAAGAAGGTCAGCCTCCAAAGAATCAGTGACCCTCAGATCTGAAGATGTCTTGAAGAAAAGTGGGACTCTGTCTACCTAAACCAGTGCTGTATATTTGCCCTTTATCCTTTCCACACTACTGTTAAGTAAATTTAGTTTTTGTTAGTGTTGGATTGTGTCTGAGTGGCTCATTTCGTTTTAATGCTACGCCTGAACCAAAGCCAAGCCCACAACCAGATGTTTTCATTATGAGCATCAATGATTATGCTATGATATAGTACAATATACTTTAGGAGGTACTGTCTTGATGAAGGCTGCTTGTCAACCTCAGGTTGACTTGCTATTTTAATTCTCATGCCTTTTTCTGGTTTAACAGTTTTTCCTGGTTTTTCTCCCTCTATAATCTGTCAAATCTTTATATTTAGTAGACCTTTTTCCACTTATTAATTTGCTATGGGCAAAAAAGCAGATAACCAAGTTTCTTGACAATAGTGTCTAAGAAGAATAAGGCCTAAAGGCCTCTCATATAAGCAAAACCCACAGGCTAATGCACAAACTTCATGACACACCTATTGAGGGAGGCTGATTTTTTTTTTCTTTTTTGCTTCTGTCCAGATTCTTGAATGGGGCAATAGCAGAATAAATGACTTCTGGATAAGTGAGATATTATTGTACAATAAACAAAAACAAAAACAAAAAACTAAATTTGATTAAAAAGCAAAAGGACAAAAAGCAACAAGGTGAAAGAATAAATTTGGTTTAAGAAGCCCCCATGAAACATACTTCAAGGATTTGTCATTAGACAGTATGTAAAAGCTGCTTTGCCTGAAAAATTAATCACCCTATAATCAATCTGGTGATGCGTCCCTTCACAAAGGCAGTGTGGTGTAGTAGAAAGAGCACTGGCTTTGGAATAAAAGGACCTAGATTCATATTCTGCCTTGGTCACTTATTACTTATATGACCTTGAACAATTCACCTTAACCTCTGTGAGCCTCAGTTTTTCTGTATGTGGATTACATGGTCTCTGGAGCTCCTGCCAGTTCTAAATCGATGACCCTATGTAGGTAGGCTGGCTCTCGAGAGGCTGTTGCTGGGCCCATGCTCAGACTTTTCTAGCTTGGTAGGACCTGACGGAGTCTGGGTTCTACTGGTAGAACCTTCAAGAACTCAGAATCAAAAGGAGCCAAAAGGAGCTCAGAGCAGGGTCTCCGGAGAGGCCTCATGGGCATGATGCAGAAATGGGAAGAATGACTGCCAAAATCTTTTTTTCTGATCTTCACACTGAGGACATCAAAATTCAGGATTCTGGATTCAGGATTTAAAATTCTTCTTGAAGCCTGTAATGTTCCCAACTATTAGTGCTCCCTTCCTCCTCAAATTATTTTATATTTAGTTATCTTTATACATGACATCTCCCTGCCAAGGGAACACAAGGCCCTCACAGACAGGAAGTATTTCACTTTTGTCTTTACATTCTCAGTATCTAGTACAATTAGGGTAGAGCTGAGACCTCTCAGAGAAGTTAACTGGATATATGAGAGATCAGGAGATTCACAGCACATATCAGATGAACCTCTGAAAGAGAATGACAGATGGGGAATTCAAAAATGAAGATCTTAAAGAAAATTAGCAAAGCAATTTCAAAGAATGTCCCTTTTGTACCAACATTTATTTCAAAAAACCTTATTTAAAGAACACAGAAGTTCTATACAACTGAAAGATATTGACCTTCAGGACAGAATGCACCGAAATAATTTTGAGATCACAAATTTCAAGAAAAAATATGACATGAAAATCCTAAATACTATAAGAAATAACACATGAAAGTTGACCAGAAATGTTGAAAATAAAGGGCAAATTATTATACGACAGAATCCATAAATCATCAACCTAGACTCCAAGCTTTACTCATTAAGGAACACAGTGATTAAACTTCAAAATTTCAATGTCAAATAACAAATATTGCAAGAAGCCAAGAAAAAAGCCTTTAGCTATCAAGGAAATTAAATTCAAATAGCCCAAGACTACTACTAATCTAAAAGAATACAGAGAAGAGATTGGAATCAGATATTCTGAAAAACAAAGGAGATTAGGATATAAATAAAAATAGGCATTTGAAAAATGTGAGGCATTAGAGTTGTTATTCCAAGAAAAACCAGAGAAAAGTAAGATATTTGACTTCAAACACTTAAAATGAAAGAAACACACACAAAAAGTAAATAACTATAGTTAACATGAAAAGACAAAATAATGAAATCAATTTTCTCATGATTCTAAGGCAAGAAAAGGCTACTATTTCAAAAATACCTGAGTTGAAGGTTAAAAAGTTGAAGGTTAGATAATATAGAGAGAAAAGGAGCTTAGCAACCAAAGATTTAAGGAAGAGGGATTAAAGAGTCAGGGGGAGAAAAGGAGGAAGAACTGAATTAACATTCCATAGACTGAAACCTACACGACTTTATAAGTCAATCAAAATCTGTAGAATGGAAGGTAAATTAATGCAGAGGAAAGTCACTCAAGAAGCAAGAGAAGCAAATGATAGGAGGAAGTAGGAAATATACTCCTGCTCAACATGGCTTAGAGAAGAGAGGATAAAATGGTCTCCATGGTATCTCTGATTTGCCTAGAGGGATGTGATACAATAGAGTAAGAATAGCGGAAGTGAAGGATGTGGTTTAAGGAACCAAGAAGCACATTTTGAAACAGGTAAGGGAATCCTCAAGTGCACTTACACAGTGTGCAGAGGGGGAGCAACAGGGACCTAAGGTCCCAATAATAGGTATTATTAGAGGGGACTGGATAACTCAAAAGACACCCTTCCCCCTTCTCCAAACAAAGGTAAACCTTCCCAGAAATATGTCCCAACCCAGGAAAAGTACATGTCCAGAGTACCATCATCCAGTGCGAACAGAAAGATATATGACGTCCTTATGATAGGCAATTAATAACCAAAGGGGCATGGAGTAGGACCAGGAAATAAACTGTGTCCTACAACACTGCTTCTTTCATGAATTAAGATCTTAAGAAGTAAGTCTCATTAGAAAATGTCCTTTAAAAAACACAAACATAACAAAATTTTAAAAAATGGTGAAAAGAAGAGCAGGCATGATCTTGAATTTCACTGAGATAAACAGGATAGAGGAAAGGGCAATGTCTTTGCCCTCCCCACTCCAAAAAAACCCTATCCTATATTGTATGAACTCTATGGAGAGAACAAAAATTTTTAGGACCAACAACTATTCCCTAACAAATACGCAAACAAGATGAACAAGCTTTTCAAAAACAAAATTATAAACCTTCACCTACCATAGAAAACTCTGCTCTAAAACACTAATGAGAAGAGAAATGCATATCAAAACTCTGAGATACTAGGGGCAGCTAGGTGGCACAGTGGATAGAGCACCGGCCCTGGAGTCAAGAGGACTTGAGTTCAAATCCGGCCTCAGATACTTGACACTTACTAGCTGTGTGACCCTGGGCAAGTCACTTAAACCCCCTGCCTAGCAAAAGAAACAAAAAATAAACAAAACAAAACAAAATTCTGAGATATTCTTTTATACCACTTAAAGTCAGAAAGATAATTTTTTTAAAGGGAATAACTTAACAGTGTCAGACGCAAGACAAGGATTACAACTGAGGAAAAGCCATCAGATTTGGTGATCACTGTTAACTTTGGAGACAGCAGTTTTAGTTGAGTAATAAACTAAAAAGCCCAATTACAAAGGACTCGGGAGCAAATGAGAAGACAGAAGTGGAGGCATCGAGCATAGATAATTTTTTCAAGGAATTCGGCTGAGAAAAGAACTACAGAGGAAAGTAGAATCTAGTGAAAGGTTTTTAAGGATAGGCAAGACTTAGGCATGTTTGAAGGCAACAAGGAAGAAACAAGTTGGTAGGAAGAGGCTGAAGACTGGGAAGAAAGGATGACTGAGGATAAAGACAGTGGGTAAAGGATAAAGTACACATGTAGAGGGGTTGGCCTTGGCAAGAAGAAAGGCCACCTCTTTGTCAAATGCGGAAAAGGAGAAGAGAGGGGGAGATGATGCCAAAGGGTTTTGAGGTAAAGAGAGCAGGGAAGCTCACAAGGAAAAGCCTCAATATTTTTTCACTAAATTAAGAAGCAGTCCTCAGCTACAAGTGAGGAGGGAGGAAGAAGTGGGGTGTGGTGGTGTTGAGGAGGAAAACTAAGGTTCCAAATAACTTCTGTGGGGAGTGAGATAGGATATCAGTGGGGGTATAATAAAAGGCCTGTCTTGCTGAAGTGAGGACCTAGTTGAAAGGCTTCGAAGTATGAGTTTGTAATGAACCCAGTCAACATGGCTGAGACTTCCTAAGGCAGACGGCAGCAGTAAAAGAAGGCTGAAGTCTGGCAAAACAAGAGGGACAACAGGACAAGTTTGACCATTATCTTTCCAGAGAACTTGTGATGAAACACCCCTTCTCTCAAGAGAAAGGTAGGAGATGAAAGGTGTGGAATATGAATTGTCAGACATGGTCACTGTGTTGGTTGGTTTTCCTTAAATGTTTTTGTTATTAGAAAGGTTTTAATATATGTGCGATGGGGGAGAATTAAGGGGAAGTAACTAGTGCCAAAACAAAAAAAAATTTTTAAACTTTTTTAACATGTCCTTTGCCCCATCACATTCCAATTTATAATTGTGTACTAGTCTTAACTATACTGCCCCCACCCCAGACCTCAATCTTTCTGAAAGAAAAGATTATCACTTTTGAATCATTTTTTACTTAATAAATGTGTGTTGAATTGTTAAGCAGAATTTTACTATGGGCTACTAAGGATGTTATTACACAATAATTTTCCTAGGACAATGTTATTTAAAGTTTGCCTGTTAAGAGTGAAGGAATTTTTCAATTGTTAAATCCTAGACTATTTTTAAAGAAATGTATCTCATATAATCCAGTAGCATGTTTCTAGAGGGAAAAAGTTCAATAAATCATAAAATCCCAGGAAAAAATCTCCTAAATCACAGAGTATGGCCTATATTTAAAGCAAGAATTCCCTCTACCCTATCCTTAATAAGTAACCATTCAAGCTCTGCTCTGCAGCCAGATCACATCTAGAATATCATAACCAATTCAGGACACCACATCTTAGGAAGGAGATGAAGAGCTGGAAAATGAGGAGGATAAAGGGTACTAAAAATCATACCTGATAAGTCGAAGGACCATGGCTGCTTAGCTTAGAGAACACAAGCCTTAGGAAGAGACATAAACTCAGGAAAAAGGATCATAGGGAAAGGTATTAAACTTATTAAAGTTGTATTCAGAGTCCAGAACTAGAACCCTTTGTACAAGTTGCAAAGACAGATTTCAACTCAATAAGGAAAAGCTCACAAATATTCAAAACTAAAATCATTCTGCCTCCTAAGTTAATGAATTGCCATCACTGGAAGTCTATTCTGGTAAAGGCTAGATGACCACTTGTCAGACACATTTTGGAGAGATGCTGTAGAGAAGATTGATGGGTCAGGTACAGGCTGAACTTCTTAACCACGAGTTTCTTCCAAGTCTAATTTTTGTGATTCAGAAGTTTCTCAGATCTACCAAAGTAAACTAAAGAATAATTATTATAGGTCTTTGATGAAATAATAATCATAGGAAATAAAAATTATAATTTCTAAAAATATCTGAAATCTAGATTTCTATTACCACATCAACACAGCTACAATTGATATAAAAACGTTCAGCCTAAAACCGCACCACTCTATTTCTATAAGTGGACCAAAGTAAAACAGCAAGAAAGTTCCATGAAAGTAATTTTTCAGTCTTTTAATTAGATTTTCCTCTTTAGACATAACTGGCAATATCTCAGAGGATCTCAAAGCCAGAATCATAAGTCACTATCCCAAAAGGACTTATATTCTGACAGGCAGTCTTAGAAAATATTTCATATATAACTCACCTGTGATGTTTCTTTTGAATATTTCTTGCATAATCCATCTATTCCCATAAAGAATGCCTGAATATTAAAATCAGTCTGAAGAGGGAAACAAATATTATCTACATATTACTACTTCTAATACAGGATTTGAGTGACATTAAAATTCTATTTCAAAATGTTAGAAAAATATGTAGACCTTGAATTTCAAAGCAAAAGTATTTCATATATTGTTTATTTTAATGTTAGAATTGCATGGCCTTGGTCTAGTCACTTCAATTCCCTTGGCCTCAGTTTCTCAACTAGAAAATTAGAAGGTTCTACTAGAACCTACTCACTAGGCTGCTTTTAGACCCAACAAAGTATATTATGCAGTCCTTCATTTCTCAGATTAACCAATCTTTGGGGAAAACAAACATAAAACTTGAGTTTATGAGCACAGATGTTCTCTAAAGTCCCTTTCATTTTAAAAATTCTATGACTCTATTACATAAAATGGAAAAGAAAAGTGAATGATGCAAAATATTAAATATAGCTTGTTTGCAAAAATGATTATCCACATATAGGATAGGGTTGTTCAAGATGTAAGTTTGCAAATTGTTTTTAAAAAACTGATTTTGCAAGGTTCTTAACTGATCTGTGGATAAATTTCAGGGAAATCTATGAAAGTAGATAGGAAAAAATTATATCTTTATTTTTCACTAATCTCTAAATGAAATTAGGCATTTCCTCCAATTATGAATGTAAGTAACAAACCACAGTAGTATTAAGCTTTACCAGACTGTAAAAGGGGCCTTTAACACACAAAAAAGTTAAGAATCTCGATTTAAAAAATAAGTTGATTGTTTCTACATCACCCTAACAGATTCAAATGCTTATTACACCATGGGGCAGTTTTTCAAGGCTGGCTGAGCAGAATGTAGAGTACCCAGTTTTTATACTTATTCCATATGGCTATGGGTAAATCAAGCTCATTCGGAAATTGTGTGCCTCTAACTTCAAAAAAAAAAAAAAAAAGCCATCACCCGAAAGGACTCTCTTTGATAGACTTTGTCCACTGAAAATACTCTCTTCTTAATTTCAACATGGTAACAGTAAGTATGTACAGTAGACATATGTAAAACTCAAGTCACTGCCCAAGCTTTCTCTGGGGAGGACTCTGTGTCCAGGTGAAGGGCACAAAAAGTCACAGTTACAACGAAGCTACTTTACAATGCGGATTAACTTTATATCTAACAAAGTAACACAATCCTAACAAAATTACTGCACTAGATAGACTTCACCAATAATTAGCCTCATATTTAGGTGGTTTAAAAAAAAATAACTCTAATTTTATATGATATTGGGAAGTAGCCTAAATCTCTGTAATGTCGTAAAGAACTATATCTGAGGTTTTTCTTTTTTCCAAACTGAACTCTCATAAATCTCAGAAGTCTCTTCAAGAACTGTTTTCTAATGCAAATTATTTAAACAACTAATTTTCAACACCCTGGAGATCAACTACATTATAAATCAACAAATTTTAATAATGTAAAAATTATCCCACAGCTTTTTAATATATATTCTTTAGATACTCAGAATTTTAATAAAATCTTCTAGTACAACTGATAGAATAAATGTTAGTTTCTAATATAGGAGTGACTAAGAATCTTCATATTTAAAAGTAAACATTATTGCAAAACTAATAACTTACTTGTTTTGAAAGTAAAATTATACGGCAAGGAGTGCCACAAATCAAACATTCTTCCTTTTTACCTATATAAAAAAAGGTAAGTTTACAGTATGTATAAAATTGGCTAATAGTTTAAGGTACACATGACTATATAAAATTAGATTTGAAATTACAAAATTTTTTCACAAATGAATATGGCACAAAAAACTGCTCTCCATGTTTGGACTGTGGTTAGGAATATGAGTGTAATGGTATGGTGGAAAGAGCACTACGTCTGGAGTCAGAGGCCCTGAGCTGGATGACCTTTGGCAAATCACTTAGCCTCCCAGGACCTCAGTTTCCTCATATATAAAATTAAGGGATTGGCCTAGTTAATTTCTGAGTTCCCTTCTAGCTCTAAATCTATGATACTATGAACATGGAAAAAAAGAACACGACATTTTCAATGCTCCGTGAGTGCTAAAAATAATATGACCAAAGTCATCCATATAACTCTGAATTCAACTAAAGCAGCAACACTGACAATGTTCCTATGATTTGTTTTTTAAATCAGATATATAAGGTGGGGAGGTATCCCACAATCAATTTGTGCATGTCTTTTCCACTAAGACATGTCAGCGAGTGCCCTGGCATCTTTGTGAGAGTACAGGGACGACACCTGACAAGGGTGGAAAAAAAAAAAGGGACTAAATACAAGTAGAGCATCCACTATGCCTTGTCAGCAACACCTCTGTAGCCAGGGCCAGGCCTGAATTACTTACCTGTGCACAGCGGGTTTCCCTTGCCAGACTCTAACCTCCCTGAGGTCAACTTTATTTTGCCTTTATGTCTCCAGTGCCTGGCACAATTCTTGGCCCAGAGAAGATACTTAATAAGTGCTTATTGACCTGACTGCTATGAACAGCTTTCTAAAGAAGAATTGCCAGCCATCAACAACCACATAAAACATTATTCCAATCATTACTTACTATGGCTTTTACAGCCCTTTAAACCACCCCGAGTTCCCTTTCACATACTCTACAATCCAGTGACACTGGCCTCCAGGTTGTTCCTTCCCATCTCACAACTCCTGGCATTTTCTCTGGCTGTCCCCCGTGGCTGAGATGCTCTCTCCTCCTCACCTCTTACTCCTGGCTTCCCTGCCTTCCTTCAAGTCTCAGGTAAAATCCCACCTTCTATATTGTTCCCTCATACTTTTGTTCATACTGTTTCGTTCCCTTCCACTTTGAACTCTAACTCTCTCTCTTCTCCCCCTATTCTTTTTTCAAGTCAGTCCTACCTCAAAGTCCTATTTTTAGGAAGCCTGCTACTTTCACTGTTCACTCATTTTAGTCATGTCCAACCTTTTATGACCCCATTTGGGATTTTCTTGGCAAAGATACTAGAGTAGTTTGTCATTTCCTTCTCCAGCCCATTTTACAGATTTGAGAAAACTAAGATAAACAGGGTTAAGTGACTTGCCCAGGGTCACACTGCTAGTAAATGTCTGAGGCCAGATTTGTACTCAGGGAGATAAGTCCTTCTAACTCCAGGCCAGGTGCTCTATCCTATCCACTGTACCACCTAACTGCCCATACTAGGTGCTTAATAAATGTTTTGAATTGAGTTGAATATTAACTTTATTTGATAGGCAATAGGAAGCTATTGAAGGGTTTCGTACAAAAAAGTGACAAAATCATATTTGTGCATAAGGAATATTCATTTGGCAGTAATCTGAAAAATGGATTAGAGAGGGAAGACTGGATGAAGGAATTAAGGCTGCTACTGAAATTCCCCAAGAAGGCAATAAATAGGGCCTGGAATTACAGTAGAGACTGGTGACAGTGGGGGATGACAAGAAATAGAAGCAGAATGCATAGAACTTGATAACTAAGATGTGAGAGGTAAGGAAAAGAATTAGTCAGATAATTCCAAAAGTGCAAAAACTGGTGAGTGGCTGAATGCTGCAGCCATTGCCAGAAAAAGGAAAAATGTGAAACAGGGAGATTTCGGTGCATGATAAGAAGTTCACTTTGAAACATGCTAAGTTTGATGTGCTTGAGGGAAATCTAAGTAAAGATTTCTTATGTGTAGTTTGAGACTTAAACCTGGACCGCCAGGCAAAGATCAGGCTGTATTGTAGATCTGCTTGTCAGCTAAGTACAAGTGTTAGTAGCAGCCAAGGGAGTGAAATAAATTGATGAGAAAATGTCCAAGGCTAGAATACCAACATTAAAGAATGAATGAGCCTGTGAAGGACACTGAAAAAGAGGAATAGGAGGAAAGCCAAGAGAAAGTGGTGCTTTAGAAACCAAAGGAAAAGAATGTATCTAGAAGGAGGATGTGATAGTGTCAAAAGCCACAGAGATGAGGTGGTGGATTATAGGTAAAAGAGGATGGACAGACAGATAAATAAATATTGACATCTATATCTATCTAGTCAGATTTGGTTAATGGATTGGTTAGTTTTGCTGAATAGCTTTCATTCTTTCTACATGGAATAGCTCTCTAGGTAGGGTTAAGTGGGAGGCATATGCTTGGAAATGAAGGTGATAAAAAAAAAACAAAAATAATATAAATTTTTTTTTTAAGCCGCAGAGATGCAGTACAGTGATTGAATGCAGGTCATTGGTGACTTCGAGAGTGTCACTTGAGTCGGGCGTCAAGGGCAGAAAGTACAAGAGTTGACAAATGAGTGACGACTTAAGAGGCTTTTAGCCAAAATAAGATCTTTTTTGAACAGAAGATGTTTGAAGACAGAAGGAAAGGAGCCAGTAGAGAGGAAGACTGGAGATAAAGAAGGGACTGGGGGAGAAAAGTCTTGAAGGAGACAGGAGGGCATGAGACCAAGGATAACAGGCAAAAATATTCCTAGCTGCTATGCCTGATCCTCATCTTACATTTTCACCATCTTAGTCACCCTCCTGTTTGCTCCTAGCCAGGAGGGCACAAAAGATCATAAAAACCATCAGGCTAATGCGGTTATCGGTAATCGAGGTAATCCTGCACCATCATGGGGGCAGCGTCAGAGAGCGAAGGGGGTGCGGTCAAGAGATGCTACGAAAGTGAAACTGACTGGCCTCGTCAGCAGTTTGGGGATGTCCCGCAGGAGACAGCGCGGAATCCGGGATGATTCCCACGTTGGGAGCCTAAGGCGCTGGGTGGGAGGACCGCAGCGCCTTCAACAATAACCTTCAGGGAAGATAATGCGCTTCCCATCACAGGAGGGCTCCGAGGCCTCGCAGGCCTCTGACGTCACTTCCGGCAACCCCGGCTGAGGCCTCTCCCACCCCAAAGCCTCCCTCCCCTTCCTCTTCTCCCCTCTTTTACCTTGCTGGAGGCAGAGGTGGCAGAACACGTGGCCGCAGCTCGTCAGGCTGAACTGCGAGGAGGACTTGCCGGGGGGCTGGAAACAGCGGTTGCAGAACACCCAGACAGCCATGCCTGGAAGCCGCGGTCTGAGGCCTCGGCAACAACAAAGCGGCCAATGGCGCCCGGGCTCGGGACAAAAAGAGGGAAAAAGGCGCGACCTCTTTCGGCGCCTGCGCACTACTGGCCTTTCCCCCGCCCCTTCCCTGTGGGAGAGACTAGAGGTTGGGATGTGCCCACTGAAAAACCAAGGGGGTGGGTTTTAAACTGGGGAGGGCTGACGATGACAGCCTTCCTCTCTGGCCCAGCTTGGGGGAAGGAGATTAAACAATTCCTGAGCATCATTCTGTCGTCCCAGTTGCAGAGGCAGATGTGTAGACAGAGGTCGTAGGGAAATTATCCTATCACAGTATCTCCCCCCCCAATCACTTCAATGATGGTACCTCCCAGGGGAACGCTGCAGCATTTTAAGCGGCTGACCTAGCTACTTACATTCATTACCCTGTTGGGTAGGGAGAGCTGGAGTTAGAATAAACGTATTTAAGGAAGTTCACAGACGTTATGTGTGTACTCTGTTTTTTTATTAGTACAAAGTTTTGTTTTTTTTTAAACCAGGTTACTTGCCCTCAGGGAGCTTCCAATCTACTAGATTACCTTTAAAAGGTTAATCTAGACCCGTGATTGCATAGGTGTAGGCAGCTCCCACTAACAAAATTGTCAGTTCAGGAACTTAAAGTCACGCTGTTTTCTGCGGTACTGACAATATGAAGCACCAGTCATTGTGCTAAACGCTGATGATAACGAAAAAAGGCAAAGATAGTCCCTGTTCTTGAGGATATCACAATCTGCTTGGGGAGGCAACGTGCAAATACACTGTACAAATAGATATATACAGTATAGGATTTATGGGAGATAACAGAGGAAGGGTACTCGAATTAACAGGATTGTAGAAGACGGGACTTTACATTTTACTACTCCCATTTTATAGATGAGGAAATTGAGGTATAAAGGCTAAATGGCTTGCCCATGGTCACACAAGTAAGTGTCTGGGACAACAATTAAACACTGGGCTTCTGAACCTGTTATCAAGACAGCATGGTAAGAGAGGAGTGCAAGTTTCCTTGAAAGCTAAGCTCAAAAGCTACCTCTCCCAAGAGATCTGTGTGGATCCCCCTAGCAGCTAGCACCTCCCTTTTTCAAAAAAAAAAAAAATCCAGTACCCTTTTCATTGTACCACAATGCCCAGTGAGTGGAGGGGGAGAGGGAGATCTCGCAATTTACTCAATTGCCCTCAAAGTCCTTTGGAGGTTTCTGCTTCAGGCATTCAGAAATCCCTACCTTCTTCAGGAGATCTTTCCTGCTCCCTCCCTCTATTGCTTTCTCTCTGAAATGACCTTCCATTTACACTGTATATATTGTGTATGACCATAGTCGTTTGCTTAGTTGGGCAAATGAAATAGGATACAGTAATTACCATTGGGTATGATGTGGGTGTTGAACTCAGGGGCAGGTGGGCAGGAGCAGGAGCTGAAGGGGGGCCCATCACACCTGTGGTGAGTGCCTGGTGTAGCCTGGAGTGCCTCCTCCCCCTGTACTAGGAAGACTGATGGGTTAATTGGGAGTGACACTGGTACTCTCTAGATCATCAGGGGATGGATGACAGCCATTTGGGAATGAGTGCCAGCAGTTTAATACCTGATTTCATTTCATGTTATTACCTGTTGTTCTGTTTCATTAAATGCCTTTACTTTGAATTTGCTGTCTTTGTATTTGGCTTAGTAAAGAGATATGAAGAGGTGTGGAGTGAGCCTGTGAGCAATGGGTTTAAATAGATCTCTACCCCAGCAATACCAGGGCAATAATTGCAAAGGGATATGTGAATACAGAGTAGACATTTTGTATGTTTATGTGGATGGAAGCGGTGTTGTTCAATTGCATTTGTTGAACTTAGTAGATCATAGATTTAGAGCTGAAAAAATATCTAACAGGCCATCCACTCTAACCCCCTCATTTTTCAGATAATAATAATAGTAGCATTTATATGGTGCTTTAAGATTTTCCAAACATTTAACATATGTAATTTTATTTGAGCCTCACAGCAACCTAGTGAAATAGGTGATATCCCCATTTTGCAGATAGGAAAACTAAGGCTGAGAGATTAAGGTCTCACAGCTAGTAAATGTCTCAGGCAAAATTTGAACTCAAAAATACCTTACCCATTGCAAGATGAGGACCTAAAGCCCAAATAGGCTTGCCCAAGGTTACAGATGTGAGAAATGAGTATTTCTCTAGTGTTTAATAATTGATAATTGTATTAGAACCAAGGTTTTTCCCCTTTTCTACTTTCTCATCCAGAAACCAACCAATGTGGAAAATCTTAGGCAGAGATTTCCCAGCTAGGATGTCTAAGATTTAATCAACGACAATAAAAAAAAAACTCTAATTTTAGGCTAATGGGTAGGTTCTTGCTCATTGTGTTTGCTCAGACAGGTCTGGGAAAGTGTTGGTTTTCCCTTTCGTCAGACAGGTGATATGGAAATTGATGTCTCTTTGACCAAGAATTGGGTGATCCAAGTCACTATCCCAAGACCCTCATTGTAATATAGACCAGCCTCTCATTGTAATATTCATTTTCTCATTAATTGTTAACCAGAGTTGATTGCCACCCCTCAGGAACACCTACTCTTCAAAGGGCATATGAACTGTGAGCCCACCATCATGAGGGGTCTTTGGTCTGAGAGAGACAGCCAAATGACCATTGTTTTATTAATAAATGTGCTGGCCTTATTAATAAAATGATTAAGTTACCCAGAAACTATGTCTCTGGAACTTTTTAATCATCACAAAGAGTAAGAGAGTAAGGATTTGACCCCAGGTCCACTGACTTCAAATCCTCCATATTTCCCATTTTACCATCATGTCTCCTGATACTAAAAATCATTCATTTTAGTCAGGAGATGTTGGTTATCTGATCTCTGATGATCAGAATGCTGCTCTAAAAAAAAAAAGACTTAGATGAGCAAAAGAAATAAGATAAAATTTTTTAACACTTGGTTTACCAAGTTGTCTCTTTTCGTCATCCAGATTCTGAAATAAATTTGACATAGAACGTCTCCAAAGAGCTAGGGAGTTACTTAAACTGGTTTGAGTGCCTTTCCAAATTCAGTCATTGCAGTGCTTACTAAGAAATAGCTATGATATTTGGGGTGAAATTAAAGGCTTCTGGACAAAAGAATGTGGGAGGAGAGTGAAAGCTGATACCCACAAATCCAAGAGCAACCCTTAAATCATATTCTAAATCTGGCAGAGTTCATCAAATGGCAAACTTGTCAAATTGATCTTCTTTGTACACTAGCCACTTACCTATGTTAGCTGCATTTGTACAAAACTGCAAAATCCTAGGTTTTAAACATGTAACTTCCATAAATGGGGTACCTACCATCTTTGAATGGTAGAGAGCCACAGTCTCACAAGACTCATTTCCTGAGTCTTAACAATAATTTGCCCAACCATAGTTGTCATTACAACAAATTGCATATCATGTGGTTTTGTGGGACTTGGGTACTTAGAAAGAAGCCCAGAATCTCAGCGTTAGAAAGAACTTCAGTCCAACCTGCACCTGACCAAGTATTGTTTCTATGCCATCCCCAGACTGGGGTCATCCGCTCTCTGCCTGAAGACCTCCGTTGAGCCACTTAGCCTTCCAGGTGAGTGAGATTGGTGAAGACCTCCCATAAAATCTAAACTTAAATGAGTAAAATAAGATAAAGACCCCTAATAATAACATATGTGTATCCAGGTCAGGAAGCTTGTAAATAGCCCAGATAAATATGTTCAAATTGTTGCAAAGACAAATATAACCGCAAATTGTTCCAGGAACTGAAATGAACAAACAGGATGTACTAAGAGGATACTTGAAGGAGGGGAAGGCAGGTGAAAACAAAGTAACGATTCTGTAATTTCCAAGGCTGTTGCTGGGGTAGTTTTGGGCTTTTAGATTGTGCCCTCTGAAGCCCAGCCAATGGGATAAGAGGTAGGGGGCTGGGGAGGGGTTGCGGTTAGAACCTATAAAAATGCTTGCTTGGCCGATACCACCCATGGTCTTGCATCAAACTACCTTTTGGTGCGAGTCACCCTTTCTTGCCAGATTGGAATAAAATCCTTTCTACTTTCTACCTGGAGAAGCCTCTGGATTAATTTGGGTAAGGGTCGTCGCTGCCCCTCACACAGGCAAACCAGGGCACATTGGGATGGCTCCAATTGTTGGGAAATTTTTCCTTATGTCAAACAAAACTTTGCCTCTCTGCAATGTCCATGCATTGCTGCTGTTTCTTCTGCTCTCTGGGGCCATGAAGAGCAAATCTAACCCCTCTTCCACATAGCCAGCCTTTAGATACTTGATGATATCTATTAGGCTCCCCCTAAATTTCCTCTTCTCCACCTTAAAAATCCTCATTTCTTTCAACTGATCCTCATATGTCATGAACTCAGGATACATACCATCCAGACCATCTTCCTCTGACCTCTCTCTAGCTTATAAAAGGCCTTTCTAAAATATGGAATCCAGAGTAGAATACAACATGATCTATTCTAGAGTCAAAGCAAGATAGAGATCAGTGAAACTTAGCCCCAGACTTCTTACTGTAGCTTATGATCACATCGAGGGCAGCTAAATAGCACAGTGGATAGAGCACTGGGCTTGGAATCAGAAAGACTCCTCTTCCCAAGTTCAAATCTGGCCTCAGATACTTCCTAGCTGTTTGACCCTAGGCAAGTCACTTAACCCTGTTTGCCTCAGTTTCCTCTTCTGTAAAATGAGCTGGAGAAGGAAATGGCAAACCACTCCAGCATCTCTGCCAAAAAAACCCTAAATGGGGTCATGAAGAGTTGGACACAACTGAACAGCAGCAAAAAGATCCCATTAGATTTTGTTGACAGCTGCATTCACTGTTGACTTGTGCCCAGATTGTAGCCCACTAAAACTCCCAAGCCTTTTGCACATGAAGTGATATGTGGCTACATCTCCCCTGTCTCATATCTGTGAAGCTGATATTTTGAACTCAGGTTTAATATCTGGCATTTATCCCTATTAAATTTTATGTTTTTAGATTCAATCCAGCACTGTAGCCCACAGAGATCCTTGTGGATCTTGATTCTGTCATCCCACTTCCCCTCTTTGTGTCACCAGCAGAGTTGACAAGTAAGCCATCCATCCTCCGTCCTTCATTGTTTTGTTGCCAAAATTTTAAGCAGCACAGGGTCAAGAAACAGATCCCTGGGGCACTCTGCATGAGACTGCCTTTCATGGTATCACAGAACACCATTAATGACAGCTCTTTGGGTCCAGCCATTTGACAATTTCCAAATCCACATAAATGTACAATCACCTAGTACGAACATGTTTAACTTTTTTTGCGCCATGGACCCTTTGGACAGCCTGGTGAAGCCTATGGACCCCTACTCAGAATAATGTCTTTAAATATATAAAATAAAATACACAGAAAGCCAATTATTTTGAAATATACTTGTCAAAATATTTTTAAAAACAACCTCATAGAACCCAGGTTAAAAACCCCTGATTCCACATTTCCCTTTCTGTCTCTTGGTCTCTGTATCTGTCTAATGGCATTCTCTCCCTGTCTCTGTCCTCTGTCTGTCTGTCTGTCTGTCTATCCATCTCCGTCTGTCTCTGCCTTTGTCTCTGTGTCTCGGTCTTTGTCTCTCTGTGTCTGTCTCTCTGTGTCTCTTTGTCTTTGTCTCTGTCTCTCTCTGTCTCTGTCTCTCTGTCTCTGTCTCTCTTTATCTTCTCAATGGTGGCACCTGAGGTACAGTCTTTGTGAAACAAACTTTCGAATTTCATTGAAATAAAGGTGTTACTATTATAGAGAAATACTAAGAGAAAGCAGAAATTCTAGTAAAGTACATTGGAATCATGTATCATGAAGAGTTATATAGTTGACCCATATCAAGGTTAAGATGAGAACTGGATCCTGTCCCACTGCACCTCCTTTCCACCCCACTAGCAAATAAAATCCAGGAACTCAGTTATTGGCTAAACTTTGCTTTTGCAATCATCGTTTATTTGCCAGAGGGTGTTATGATGCTGATCAAACGGAGATTTAATTTCAACTTTTGATCCTTTGAAATTACCCACAAAGTAATACATATTTATGTATTTTGTTTTATTAACTTAGACATTATGCAAATCATTGTACAGTTTATTTGCCTCTTTTAACTTCATTTCACACCAGTTTTTTAGCTATGAAGAAATCTTTAAGGGACTTCATTTGGAAAATTCCAACCGAGATAAGGAGTAACAGCTGAGCGAGAGCCCACCATAAAACATTGCTGTTTGTATCTTCACTGGTCATTCGGAAATTTTCTTCACGTTCCTATGCGGGAGAAAAAAAAGAGCAGATTTAGTTTCATATGGGTACATAAAAATGCATGCTCTTTGGGGGAAAGGCTCTGTATAAATTCAAGGTAGTTTTATTATCAGGCAATGATCTGTATGTATGCACAAGAATCCTATCTGATATTATGAGCTGGAGTGTGCTGTTTACCCAAGCATCAGAAAGTGAGGTTCAACATTATAAAATACCACAGTATATTTCCACATGAAATATCAAGAAAATAACACATGCTTTATACAATTTACGTTACTGATAACCAACAAATATTACATATACTCATTAATCGACTAGATTCTCTCTCTTCTAGGTAGAGACAGGATCTGCACCTGTTGAGTTCTACACAGTGGTAGGGCCAACACACATAGTTAGGTGGATAATGATAATTATTGTCATATTATATATTACTATATAATATGATAGTAAACAACTAGCATTTATATAGTATTCTATTTTACAAATATTACCTTATTTTATTCTCACAACAACACTAGGAGGTAGATGCTATTATTATTATCCTCATTTTACAGATGAGGAAACTGAGGCCAGTAGAGGCTAAGTGATTTGCCCAGGGTCACACAACCAGTAAGTATCTGAGATCAGGTTTGAATTGAAGTCAGGTCTTCTGCTTTCTAGCCATTGCACCACCTAGCTGCCTCCATAGTAGAGGGAAGTGCGTGTCAGTCCCCTCAGCAGATCTCTCCCTCCCTGCCGTCCCCTTGCCCAGGTACTGTGGGCTGCACATTCCAGAGTGGGTGTGGCTTGAAGTCGGACAGAGAGAGGGAAGGAAAGCATGAGCTGTCCCTGAGCTAGTGTGCTTATTCACAGGACTGTCCTCATGCAAAAAATGCTTGCCTAGTTACAGGACTGACATCTGGGAGGGACCCTCGAGCCCAATCCCCTCATTTTAAAGATTAAAAAAGCCAGGAGCTAAGCTAGCAAGCACAGCAATCGAGTCTGCAATAGAGCCACTCAGTCAAGAAAGGAGCTCCTGGGAACAGTGGATTCATTTTCTCCTGGTCTCATGCAGCTTCTCCAAAGAAGTCTACACAGCCTGGTACAGAGAGGAGAATTCCACTGTGCCAGCAGCCTTACCCACCCTTTGATAGTTCTGCTCTTTGATGATTTGCTCAATTTGTTCTGTCAGATGTTCCAGTCTGTAGCTAACTTCATTAACTTTGTCCTTTGCTTGAGCAATTACTGCATCAAGGTCATGTTCTCCAACTCGAATATCCAAGTGGATCCGCTAAACAAACAAGAAAAAGAAAGTGTTCCAGATTTTGAAAACTACAGCTGACATTCAATCCTCCGAAGCTGGCCTCAGTGGAAACTCTTTCCTCTTTCTCTCCTTTTTTATTTTTTTATTTGCACTCTGTCCTCCAAGAAGCTTCCCTTGGTCTTCCCTCCTTATTCCCAAGTAGGCTATCGTCGCTCACATTTTCCTAGAACACTTTGTCCGGATGTCTCCTTTGCTCCCATCACATGCAACTTTGTCTAGGTCATGTCCCCCCATTAGACTGAGAGATCCCTGAATGCAAAGACTGTGTCATCACATTTTTTAAATCCCTCTAGCCGTAGACCCAAGCCCATAGTGGATGCTTAATCAATAGTAGATGCTGTTAAATGAAAATCTTTCTTCACCGAATCATAGGATAATGGATGTAAAGCTGGGAGGAACTTTTAGTGGTTGACTAGTACGACTCCCAAGGTTTTTCCCATCTTCCGTTTAACAACATTTATTAAGCACCTTCTACATGCCATGAGTAGCTTACACAAGGTCCTAGAAATACTTCCAAAAATTAACTGATCTCTGATCTAAGTGATACAGAAAATGCCTTCAATAATGCAGATCATAATCTATCCGTGCCTTCTCATTGTTAGTCAACAAGCATTTATCAAGCACCTTCTATTTGTGAGAAACAGTGCTAAGTGCTAGGGATACAATAAAAGGGAAAAAAAAAACCATCCCTGCTCGCAAGGACCCCATACTCTGAAAGGGTAGGCAATGTGCAGACAACTATGTATAAACAAGATAGAATCATGGAAATACTCAAAAGAGGGAAGGTACTAGCTTTACAGGGGGTTGGGAAAGGATTCTTTAGAAAGCTCATACATTTGGGGCAGCTAAGTGGTGTAGTAGATAGAGCACTGGCCCTGGAGTCAAGAGGACCTGAGTTCAAATCTGGCTTCAGACAGCTGATGCTTACTTAGCTATGTGACCCTGGGCAAGTCACCTAACCCCAATTGCCACACCAAAAATTTTTTTAAAAAAAAGCTGGTATAGTTTCCTCTGCAAGTCCTCCACTAAGGGCCAAATATCCCTGAGGTCCATTCTCCCATAGACCTTTGATCATTTCATGACAGGCTCTTGTCATGTTCTCATTTCACTCCCATGCCACTCATTCTTCCTAGTTCTTATCCCTAAACAGGTAGCCCTCACCATTTTCCAGTTCCTCTTTATCTGTTACCTTCCCCCATTAAAATGCAAGCTTCTTAAGGGATGCACTGCCTTGTTTGCTTATACTTAAATCCAATTCACTTGCAAGTCAAGACATCACCCTCATCATGCCATTGGTTCCCTTGGAGAATGAAGGACAAAAAACAACTGCAGTCCTCAGTGCTTAGCACAATGTCTAGCATGAGGGCTCTCTCTCTCTCTCTCCCCCCCCCTCCATCAGTTTTCTTTTAGACTTCTTGATGAGCCTCTGGGAACCAATAGCACCCATGGGCTGTCCATCCACTAGCCCTCATTCTCACTACATGACCATCCTCTTCTCAGTGGTAAAACATCCTGTTCAGTCTCTTTTTTTCTCCATTCCCCACCATGCAGTTCTTCATTATAGAAGCAATGCATTGGGTTTAAGTGACTTGCCCAGGGTCACACAGCTAGTAAGTGTCAAGTGTTTGGTCTGAGGCCGGATTTGAACTCAGGTCCTCCTGACTTCAGGGCCAGTGCTCTATCCACTGCGCCACCTAGCTGCCCCTTGTAAACCACTCTCAATGCCGTATTTCCAACCTGCTCAGGAATGACTCTGACCCTAATGGCTATCATTGTCATGGCCTCCTTCAAAAATATAATGCAAATCTCTTATCTAGCAGGTCGAAGACTCTTGGTTTCTTTGCAGAAACAAAGAATGGGCCACCATCCCATCTGTAAGAGTACGAGTTTACTTGAATTATCACTATGAATTCACCATTCAGTTTTCCTTTTTTTTTTCAGGCCTGAGTAATCACAGTTCTTTCAGCCATCCCTTAGAGTTATTTTCCAACCCTTTAATTAACTTTGTGGCTCTCCTTTGAATTCTTTCCAAGCTCCCCAGCTTCCTCTTTAGTTACTAAGTCCAGATCTGGATGCAATACTGGAAGAAATGTCTACCCAGGCCTGAGTATAACCATCTTAGCGTCATGCTGAATGGTGCTGTCAGGGGTTCCATTAACAAAGACATTAAAGAAATGCAACTTACCAGCTTACTACCACCAAAGGAGATGAGCTTTGTAGAGTTAGACTTTAAGCAAATGATGTGCTCTCCAGGCGAGTATGATGTGAATGTGAATGCCCCCTGTGATCCATACAGCCTTGACAATAATACCTACAATGGAAGTGTTTCAATGGTTTATGAATCCAGTTATAGGAGTGATCCTTTCCAGGATTGTCACATGCTGTATTAGTCTGAATATAGGTCATTGTGGCATATAGAGCATACAACTAAAAGGAGATCCCTTTGAAAGAAAACACACACACAAAAATTATCATAACATACTGGATAAAAAGCCAGTCTTAAAGTCAGGAAAACCTGGATTCAAGCACTGTCTTTAACATATACTAGTTTATATGGCCATGGATACCCCAGGAAATCTCTCAGCACCCAGGAAGATTCTTAAGGACTGTAAGCTACAGATTGGCTGCCACCTGCAACAGTGGAGGGAGTTTCCATACCAGGGGTTCTCCATTTCTTCAGTCATTTTCAGTTGTGTCCGACTCCCCATGACCCCATTTGGGGTTTTCTTGGCAACGATACTGGAGTGGTTTATCATTTCCTTCTCCAGCTCATTTTATAGATGAGGAAACTGAGGCAAACAGGATTAAGTGCTTTGCTCAGGGTCACACAGCTAGTTAAGTGTCTGAAGTCAGATCTAAACTCAGGTCTTCCTGATTCCAGGTCTGGCACTCTATCTACTGGGCCACCTAGCTCCATACAGAGTCAAATAAAAACAAATTAAAATATGTATTTTTTATAAAATATTGTATATACACACACATACACATATATATACATATATATGTATTTGTGTGTGTGTGTGTGTGTATCAGGAAATGGAATTATTTTCTCTTTCCACTAATTTCTTGGCCATAATGATGCTAGGAGAATATTTAATTTCCCTTCGCAGAAGCTTCCCTAAAAGCAATTTGAATAATATACCCATTTGTGGAAATTTGAAAACTAATTATTGGGGAGAAACTGGGGTATTTTGTTGAGTTTCTACAAGAGTGGGGAGTGTCCATTCACTGCCCAAGTTTCTAGGAAAAAGAATACATCAGACTTTGTAATCCCCATATCTCAAGTTGGTGTCAATGATAGGCTTGCTCTGAGATCAAAGGTCAGGATGTTTTTTACTCTTGGGCAAGCTTCTGTGCGGCTTGAGGTCAGCAGGAAATGTGTCAAGGAAAGATTTTATAGCAGAGATCTCCCTTTCAGAGTTTATATTTGAGCTATGTACAGGGAAAATGATGGCCCCTGCTAAAGCCATGGAAAGTCTGAAATATTTCTTTGTGCCGTACCCAGATGGAGCCAGGACAGAGAAATATTGTTCTCTGGAAACGGGCTAGCAAAAATAGGGAAATATATTTATTAAATGCATTTATTAAAATAAGGAGAGGTGCAGAGGAAGTGATGATAAGAGAATTGTTCCATTACCACCTCTTGGGAGCTGTGGAAGACTACAGGAAGACACAGGGGCTGAAGAATCTTGGGAGATAGCTAACTCCTGCCAGAAACCCTAATGTGGCGAGTGACAAGTGACTGAAGCTCTCTCTCTGTACAGGCCTCTGGAGAAGATGGGTGTCTATTCTTAGGAGGTGTCATTGCTTTCTTATGAAATATGTTGTACTCTCCATTTGTTTTATTTGGCATGAAAGTAAACCTTCTCTTCCTTGAGTTTTACGAACTGAGAGCTTGTAAGGGGAGGTTTTAGGGAAGAGTTTGGGGAAAAGCAATGGGGCAAATTGATGGGAAGTTGCCCATCATGTACCATGGACAGCTCTTCACTTCCTGTGAGACTGATTGACATGACAGTCCCATAAAGATGTTTTATTCATTTTTAACCTCACTACTTACAGATGTGATCACTTTTTTTTTTTTTTTTTTTTTTTTTTTTTAGTGAGGGAATCAGGGTTTAGTGACTTGCCCAGAGTCACACAGCTAGGAAGTATTATATGTCTGAGGCTGGATTTGAACTCGGGTCCTCCTGGCTCCAGGGCCAGTGCTCTAGTCACTGCACCACCTAGCTGCCTCTGATGTGATCACTTTTGCTGATATTTTTTCACATAATTCAATTATAAGCAGCACTTGGGTTTTATGTAAGCCAGATTTAAGACATTAAAGAGTCTCTATTTGGACCAATAGTCCTTTCCTACTTTCACTTACAAAAATTCATCTCTGAAATTTGATATAAGATATCCTAGAGAATTTCGGCAATACTTTCCTGACCTTTAGTAAAACTTTTCAAGACAAAACTTGGTTAGTTAAAACTGTACGTTCCAGTCCCTGTTGTCATATACAGAAATGTAACTTGTTTGTCAAAAGTGCTGAAAAAGCCTGAGAGGCCAGGAAGACCATGGGAACGTCTTTTAAAAAGGACCTGACCATTGTACATATATAGGACCAGCCAACATGGATGAAGAGCACTCACTCTTTTTTTTTTCCCCCTGTTAGGCAATGGGGTTAAGTGACTTGCCCAGGGTCACACAGCTAGTAAGTGTCAAATGTCTAGTCTGAGACCAGATTTGAACTCAGGTCTTCCTTACTCCAGGGTGGGTGCTCTATCCACTGTGCCACCTAGCTGCCCCAAAATAGTAGTGCTTTTTTTTTTGTGAGGCAATTGGGGTTAAGTGACTCACCCAGGGTCACACAGCTAGTGAGTGTTATATGTCTGAGGCTGGAATTGAACTCAGGTCCTCCTGACTCTAGGGCTGGTGCTCTATCCACTGCACCACCTAGCTTCCCCAGAGCACTCATTCTTTACAAAGCTGAGACTCTAGGCTCTTTGAACTAGACTAGACTGAGAGGCCCTGGGAGCTCACTTGTACAGTAGTGATCCTGCAACCAACCACAAAATAGCAAATTTATGTATGTGTATACACATATACATACATATATATGTAAAAAGCACAAAAATTTGTACTTTAATGCTTACTGTATAATTATATAAAATACATAATATATTTAAACTTGCACTTTAATATTTAATATACAAATACACATTTAAATATATTTAATATATAACATATATTTAAATATAGCATTTTCATGTTTGCAAAGCACTTTACACACATCATCTTCTCTGATCCTCACCACAACCCCACGAGGTAATGTTATGATTACCATATTTTACAGATGAGAAAACTGAGGCTGAAATAGAAGTGACTTGCTCAGAGTCACACAGATAGTAAGTGCCTGAGGTAGGATTTGAAGTCAGGTTTTTCTGACTCCATGTGCTACACCACCTAGGTGACCAGTAGCTTTTGTTGAATAGACTCTGGTTATGTGAGTCTTTGGGCATCATAAGGGGGACAGACTCTAGGCCACACGAGGGCAGAGATCATATAGTCTATAAACTTTGTATCTCCCCCGGGTCTAAACAGAGTTCTCCGTAAACAGTACACACTTAATAATTATTTGTTGAATGCATGCATAGATATTTAAGGTCTTAGCTTTAGAAAAAAATTTAATGATGAAATGCAGAAATTGTTTTACCTCATCACTGTAAGTTGTAACAGTCACAAATAACCCTAAACCAGGAGCAGAGTCAAGGAAATCTTGATGGTTTCTATCCCATTGCTCCATCTTGTAAATCCCTGTTTAGAAAACACAAAAGATGTTTATTATAAAATAGATGCAAGTAATGGTAAGGAGCAGTTACAGCCATAGTCAATGGATCCAGCGTTTTCATTTCATCGAAATCACAAGTACGGTAGTCCTTTGTTTTTTGTCTTTGTTTTTGTTTTTGCTTTTTTTTGTTGTTGTTTTGGTTAGGCAATGGGGTTAAGTGACTTGCCCAGGGTCACACAACTAGTAAGTGTTATGTGTCTGAGGACAGATTTGAACTCAGGTCCTTCTGCTCTATCCACAGTTCCACCTAGTTGCCCGACTAGTAGCAGTTTTTATGTGTCACTTGGTACCCCATGTTATGTAGAAGAATGAAAAAAAGTCCCTGGAAGTCGGAAGACCTGAGTTCCAGTTCTGACCCTGGGTCCTCCTTCCTCTGAATTCTCATGGTGTGTAAATCTCTTACGCACTAATCCCTTTGTACTTGTTATTTTTGTATGTGTCAGGTTTATTAAGCTGGAGAAAGCTGCCTATTCCACCAGCTTTTCTGGATCTACCCATTGCCCCTCTCATAGCCTAATTTGAGCATACTCTTTTCACCCCATTAGACTGTAAGATCCTCGAGGGCAGGGACCACACCAATTTTTTTCACCTTTTTCAAGCACAGAATCTTGCACAAAATGTTTATTGAGTCATATTGGGATTATTAAATGTCTTATTTTTCCTCCTCTCCTCTGAGCTAGAAGCAGTATGGTGTAGTGGAAAGAGCCTTGAACTGGGCAATACCCAGGTTTGACTCCTGGCTCTGCCACTTAATAACTGGGTGAGTGTACGAGTCATTTCACCTTTCTCTGGGCCTTAGTTTTATTCATCAGTAAAATGGGAATAATAAACCAGTGTAAGCTTATTGTTCATGTCTTATTTAGCTCAGAGTCTAACACAGGGCTGGGTACTCTAACGGGCATTTGACAAATGCCTATTCAATTTAGTTTATTACACATCATTGTTTTCCTGCACCTTCCCTCCCTAGGCAGACAGTAGAAACTCAATAAATATTTGTTGAGTCTCAGACTGAGAGCTGAAAGAGACCTCAGAGATCACTTAGGTCAGTGGGATTAAACTCAAATAAAAACAAGAGCCGTTAATCCATACATGAGGATCCCTGAAGCCTACATATTGACTTAGTTTTAAAATGTAATATTATCTGTGTTTTACCATATTTTTATTTAATTAAATACTTCCCAATTACATTTTAATTTGGTTCTGCCACACTTGGGCCAAATGTGGCCTGTAGGCTGGGTGTTTGACACCTGTGATCTAGGTCATTCAACCTCTATGTGAACAATGATCCCTCTTCTATAGTGTCCCAGTAAGTGGTTGTCCAGCCTTTGTCCACTTCAGACCTCCATTGGTGGAAACTCCCAAGGTAGATGAAATCAACCTTTCTAATTTCCAGTTATGCCCCTGGATACCCAGTGGAACTTGGCAGGACTGCAGATATTGAGTCACAGATAGCTGTGATGTCTCAGCTAAGTCTCTTCCATTCCAGAATTAACATCCCTATTTCCTTCTGCTAATGAGTTCTTATCTGACATTGTAGTTAATCCCATTGCTGGTCACCCCACTCTAGACATGTCCTAGATTGTCAAGAGTCCACCCATAATGCAGTACCCAGAACTGAACTCCAGAGGGCCTCTGACTGTGGTAGAAGAAAGCAATATTAAATCTATAATCCATCACTTGCCCTTCTCTAGACACTAAGCCCATCAATATGGCTTCAGGGCATAATAGCATTTTTTTTCCCTAAGCCACCATGTCACCTTGTTGATTCATACTGAAATTATAGTCATAAGCCTCACATCATTTGGAGGTCAACACACTGAACCCCTTCAAAATTAACCTGATTCTGCTATCATCTAGCCCACATCTTCCCATCCTGTCTGCAAAGAAGCCATGACATAAAGTGCCCTCCAAAATGGGAAGTGTTGCTATTGATATACCAAGTTATTAACCAGACAACCAACCAATATTTTCTGCACATCCATCTGCTGTGATGTTTTGAAGGTCAAAGGTGCCATCTTAAAATTTTTTTTGCTTTAAGATGCTGTCAAATCTATGTCTCCTCCATTCAAAATCCTTTCCCAACATCCCATTTCCTTTAGCACCTGCTAACTTATTGCGTCCTGATGTTGGCACTGTTTATTAAAACCACTCTAATGAGGATGGATTGAAAAGCCTGGGGACAATCAGATCTATAGGAGATATGATCCCACTGTCAGAGGAAAGAAGGATTAAGACTTGTTTTGCTTGGCCCCAGAGGCCCAAATCGGGACCTGTGGGTGGAAGATTCAGGGAAACATGTTACAACTCAATGTAAGGAGGAATTTAATAGTCAGAATGATCCAAAATGAAATAAGTTGCCTTAAGATGGGTGTGAGTGCCCTGTTAACAGCAGATCTTCAAATGAGGCCCAGATGATCCTTGGCTGTCTATATTGATATCCCATTACATTTATATACCATCAGTTTTTCAACCACTCCTTAACTGATGGATATCCACTTTGTTTCCAGACCTTTGTTATCACAAAGAAGGCTGATAACAAACATTACAGAGGGGATTCCTACTCAAGTATGAACCAGACCAGACTCACCTCCAAGGTCCTTTCCAACTCAGATTCTTCAAAATTTTCCCAAGCTGTTTTGTGTCAGGGAAATCTTTTTCCCAGCTGTGAGTGCCTTCTCGCCAAAAAGTTTTTCATTTTATATATATGTGTGTATGTGTATGTATATATGTACATATATACATATATTTTACATATACATGCTATTTCCTCTGATGTATACGTATATATGTATATACATACACATACATACACATATACACATAAATGCTGTCTTTAAAACAACTCATTTTCCAGATGAGGAAGGTAAGACTCATTTGAAGTGGCTTGTTACCATTACAGAGCTAAGTAAATGAACTCAAGCTCAGGTCTTCCGGTTGCAAATTCAGGATTCTTTCCACTAACCAGGCAGTCAAATTAGCAGGGAATTTAGATAATTCAGGAATACTTTTAAATGATAAGAGTCATAGTAGTCAAGAAAAAAATGTTACCTGATGGTCTATAATGCATAACTATGCAATATTCCATAAAATGTCAAGTCAAATTAAACCTCAGATGGGCAACCATCCCTGTGAAAGCACCTCAGTGAAATCTGGCCGATGACTGCTTTGGGCCAGTTTACTGACCAAAGGAATTTTCTTGTGAAAGGGGATTTGGAAAAGACTTTCTGTAACATGCTCAAGGGAAAGATGGTCGTAAGGGCAAATGTGGGTCTGACTTTGTTGAGTTCCTTTTCACTTCTTGATCAACTTCAGTGTCTACCTCTGTTCTTCAACAAAAATTTATTTAGCTATGATCTTCAAGAGACTAAGAGCTAGGGATATAAATCAATTGGTCTATCAGCAACCATTTATTGAGGTTATTTTGTATCAGGCACTGTGCTAAGAGTTGAAGATAGAAAGATAAAACAGAAACAGTCCCCTGCCCTCAATGGGCTTTCATTCTAATGGTGGAGGCCACATGTATAGAAATAGATCTGAGGTAGGGAAGGGAAGGAGCCAGGCGCTGTGCTAAGTGTTATACAAATCCTATCTCATTTGAGTGTTACCTTCAGGTGCTGTTATTAATTTCATTTTACAGCTACAAAAACTGAGGCAAATGGAGGGTAAGTCACTTGTCCAGGGTCACACAGCTATTTAGCATCCGAGGCTAGATTTTCTCCAGTCTTCCAGACTCCAGGCCCAGTACTCTTATAGTAGGTACTAGTGATCGGGGCAGGGAGAGATTAGTAATGATCTACTGAAGAAGGAAGGAAGCCAGAGATTTCAAGGGCCAGTGAAGAAGAGGAAGAGCATTCTAGACATGAGAGAGAGCCCACGGATAGACACAAAATGTAGGTTGGTACATCAATCGGTATGGCTGCATTGCAAAATGTGTGGATGGGAGTAATGTCTAAGAAAACTGAAAAGACAGGAAGGAACCAGATGGTAAAGAGCTTTAAATGCCCAACAAAGGAGACTATACTTGATTCTAGAGATAATGGGGAGCTACTGGAGTTTACAGAGTGAGAGAGTGACATGGTCAGGTCTAAACTTTAGGGAAATCATTTTGGCATTTATGTACAGATAAATACAGTTTAGACTTTGCTCTCAAGGAAATTACAATCTGCTAAAGGGCAGCTGGGTGGCACAGTGAATAGACTATCAGGCCTGAAGTCAAGAAGCCTCATCTTCTTGAGGTCAAATCCAGCTTCAGACACTTACAAGATGCATGACCCTGAGCAAGTCACTTAACCCTGTTTGCCTCAGTTGCCTTATCTGTAAAATGAGCAAGAGAAGGAAATAGCGAGCCGCTCCAGTATCTTTGCCAAGACAACCCAAAATGGGGTCATGAAGAGTCAGACAGGACTGAATAATAACAAAAGGGGTGCAACAATGACTACCTGGTTTTCTTCAAGACCCAGACCAGGCACCAAATTCTACAGGTGCTAGGGCTCCCTCCTCCCCTTCCCCAATTAAATTATCTTCTGTCTATTCTGTATATACTGAATATGTATATGTTGTCTCTTAACTACAAACTCCTTGAGGGCAGGTATTGTATTATTTCTGTCTTTTCCTTCAGCATCTGGTACATTATAGTTTGTTGATTGACTGAATAATAAGAAACAGTATGGCATAGTGGAAAAAGGAGTCCAGGAGACCCTGGTCCAAGGACTGCCTCTGATACATACTGTCTGCCCCAGTCAACTCTAAGACTCTACTGTTGCCAATTTGCATTGAGTTAAGGAATTTCCACACCTGGAGTTTCCTATACTGATGAAAGCACAGAGGGTCTGGGGGAGGGGAAAAAGCAGCAGCTCATCTTTATCTGGTACTTTCTGGACTTTACATCACATTTTCACCTCTCATATATAGACATAAATTTATATAGACATTTATAGACATAAATCTGTCTATATCCTTGAGCCTA